GTTTTGGATATTTCTGGCTTTGTGGATATTTGTATAGACTTTACCATTTCAGCATCCCTGATCTGAAAATGTGAAGTCCCAAATGGTCCAAAATCTGGAACTGTGCCTTCAGAAAGTTGTCAATTTTGGAGCTTTTCACATCTCAGACTTTGGTGTTCAGGGTGCTCAGCCTCTGTATGAGTAGGGTGCTCTGGTAGTATATTAAGATATAACTGCTGATTTTGCCCAAGACATACAAGAAGAGCTCCCTCATGGGTAGAGCAGAACTGTTTACCTAGACACTGTGGTCTGCAGGCAAGAGCTGAGTGGTCAGAAGAGAAGTGGGGTTTAAGAGAGTGTTGCCAAAGTCTTTGGAGGTTCTTAAGTAAATGAAACTTTGAAGGGAGAAAAAGAGCAAGAACCAACACAGAATAGGAAATTAGAGAGTAGATAAGTGGGTGTCACTGTGGAAGGTCTGTTAGGACACTGATACTGGCTATTGGGGAAGAACATATGGGTGAGACACTTCTGAAAGATTGGAGGAGTTTGGTGGGTTTTTGAAGGTATTTAGGGTGATCATTCAAGTGCTAGATTGGCTGTGAATAACTACCAGAAGAGGAGCAGACAAAGTATAAATAGAAGGGGAAACGAGGAGGAAGAGCAGCCAGAGAACAAGGAGAGGAGGACGTCAGAGGCCAGACACCCAGCTACACCATGCCAGCCATGGAGTAAGAGTGAAAGTAAAATATACAGAAGTAAGAAAAGGAAACAGTCCAGAGACAAAAAGTATATGGGTTAAGTTAAGAAAAACTGGCTAGGAAAAATAACCCAAGCTAATGTTGGGCATTCATAAGTAAGAATAAGCCTCCATGTGTGCATTTATTTGGAAGCTGGGTGATGCGACCCCCACCCCGCCATGTCAAAAGACTAAAGAGCCAAGAGAGTAAAACATCACATTTCAGTGTGTTGTTTTTGTTTATGCAGTATTTAACTATGTAAAGATGTGTTGCTGTTTCACCTTGCCTGCCCAAGGCATCTGATTGGTTTAATAAAAAGCTGGATGACCAATAGCTGGTCAGAGGAGGGATAGGCTGGGCTTGTGGGCAGAGAGAAAAGGGGAGCTGGCCAGCCCAGACAGCCAGACAGGAAGAAGCAGGAGAGTAGGGCATATAGAATGAAAGAAAGGTAAAAATCCCCCAGGCAAAACATAGATGAAGAAAAACAGGTTGAATTAAGTTATCAGAGCTAGTGGGACAAGCATAAAGTAAAGGCTGAGCCTTCATAATTAACGTTGAGTATCTGTGTCTTTATTTGGGAGCTGGTTGGTGGTCCAAGACAAAGCTACAAATGGCTTCCTTCAGCATTAGCGACCAAGAGAATGGAAAACCAGCGTGATTCTTAAACACATGCTCTTCCCGATATTCCCCTAGTTTTCTCCAGATCCTCCTTTTTATCTATTTTACACTGTTAAGCGGTTGTTCCTCACACTAACTACACATTAGGGAATTCATTTCTTTAAAAATAAAAGTAAAGATGACCAAACTCTGCCCTAGACTCTGTAGATCAACCCCAGAGGCACCCACTGTGGAGAGGGGTCCAGTGCTCCATGATTGCCAAGCTCTCCAGCTGGCTCAAGCCAGCTTCAAGGATTTAAAAGTCTGGTATCAGGCATGCTTCCACACCCTTGCCAGGATTTGCTGTGACAAATGGCTTTTAGCGCCTTAGCTTGCTTCCCTGCTTTTGCTTGGTGACATAGTGTCTCCTGCTTTGTCAGCCATTTGGGGGGTGGGCAGAAATAAAAGTAACCTTGAAACCCAGGACATTCTTTGGGTGTTTATTCAGGATCTGGCAAGCTTTGCAACTTAAGTAGCAATTACCATGGCTGACACTAGACAACACCAGCCTACGTTAGCTCCTTTACTTCCCAGGGTAAGACTACCAAATCCATACCAGGAAGCTGAGGCTCTGGGAGATGACTCCCAGCCAATACGTGCTCATTTAATTAGACGTCTATAGAGCTGATAAGCCGAGGTGTGAAGTCTTCCCAAGCTGTGTCTTTCCTATGGGAAGGAACCCGTCACATTTGTGTGAGGCTCTGCTTCAAAGGATAGCATTGCCAAACCTCTTGAGCTGCGCACGCTTGCTTTAAATGTTCAAACTGCTAGCTAGTTCTGAGGCAGTAAAATACTGCTTTCTGTGAAGCCTCTTAACCTACCATAAAAGAAGTAGTTGAGGGAGCTGGAGAGATGGCTCTGAGGTTAAGAGTCCTCACTGCTGTTACAGAGGAGGTTTGGTTTCCAGCACCCACAACCACCCCTAAATCTTGCTCCAGGTGATCCAGTGGCCCCTTCTGGCCTCTGCCGGAGCTTCCCTGCATACATAGCCATAATTTTAAAAAATGAAGTTCCTGAAAAATAGAGGCCACTTCATAGCCGTGGATAGCCATACCCCTGTATCAGGATGACACATATTCATATGTATGCATTTGTGTGTACGTGTGCATGAATGTTGTTGTTGTTGTTAACTTCAAAGAAATCGACATTTTTCTTTTCTTTTGTGCCCCACCCCCCTGCAGTCCCCGGCTGTGACCAAGGTCATTGTGCTCCTTCTGTTTTCCCTACTTACGTCCTTGCTTTTGTTGTCTGTTACAGTTGTACGTAGCTATAAGTAAAGTGCGCTTTCTGCGGTTTCTATTAAAATATTATAGGTGAAGGGTTCTTAATTAATGCCTTGTAATAAAGAGCCAGCAATTAGGAGTTTGCCGTGTTTTGTCTGGTCTATCGGCACTATAATGGAGGCATGGTGTGAGTAGTTTTAGAAAAGCTTCCCAAGCCATTATTTGATGTTGTAAATAGAAAAAAAAAATTCTTATTTCTTAATGTCAGTTTGAGAGTATACTTTTATAAGCCATTACTGTGTATGTGTATGCCTGTAAAGTAGGTCACTAATAATGCAGTGGTAAAATCCATTTTGATGTGCGTGTGTGCCTGCACCCGCCATAGTGTATACGTGGAAGTCACATGACAGCGTAGGGGGCTGGCTCTCTCCATTCACCACGTGGATACCGGGAATTGAACTCGGGTTATCAGACTTGATGGAAGTACTTAGACCCTATGGGTCATCTCACTGGCCCTGATTTTGATTTTTAAATTTCATCTACAGATACTTTAAAACATTTTAAGTAAAAAAAAAATTGTGTGTGGGTATGATGTTTATGTGTATGGATACAAGCATAAATGACAGTCAGAGAACGACCTTGGTTGGGTGGTGGCACACGCCTTTAATCCCAGCACTGGGGAGGCAGAGATGGGTGGATCTTTGAGTTCGAGGCCAGCCTGGTCTACAGAGCTACAGGGAAATCCTGTCTCGAAAAACTAAAGGGGGTATACAGAGAATAACCTTGTGTGTCAGTTCCTCCACCTGCCTATGTGAGACAGCAGCTCTTATTTTTATAGTCCACTGTATGTGCCAGGCTAGCCATCCCTCAAGCCACCAAGGATTATCCTGACTTCGCCTCCCATCTCTCCATAGGAATGCTGGGATTGTGCCCATCTTTGAGTGGTTCTGGGGGCCTGAGCTTCATTCTTCACACTTGTGTGGCGAGTGGAGCCAGCTGCCCAGCCCTGCAGATTTAAATGCTAAGTAGTTTAAGCCAAAGTCAGTCAATAAAATATTTTTTAATCTTTTCTGTTTTGAAGCTGTATTAGGTAGAATAATGATGTTTGGAGCCGTGACCATAGTCTACTACCCATATAGCGTCAACGTGTATTTAGAAATCTCAAATATCACTCTTGGTTTTGTTTATGTTAAAGGGGGCACATTGCAATGATTTTCTAGCTCCTAGGGTGATTTGGTTCATGCTCAGTTTTTGGAATATGCGTGATGGGCGTTGATAAGGAGACCAGGTGTTGAGGATTTCACTTTGTGCTTTATTAACTCCTTCTGGTTGAGCAAGGACTCCATCTTTGTGTGTGTGTCCAGAACTGTTTGTCAGTGGGTCTGTGGCTTCTGTAAGTTAGGACCTCAGTTCCTCTCCCGCTTAGATGCTTGTTTCTGGGGTAGTCTTGCCCTTCTGGGAAACATACATTTTTGGAGCCGATGACCAGGTTCTATGGGATGTTCCTTTTTAGGTGGGAGGGAAGGCTGACACAGGGTGGTTGAGGCCAGGGTGGGGCCTCCTGCCTCAATCTTCCTAAGGCTGGAATTACAGGCTTGTGTCTCCATGCTTGGCACCCATCTGGGATCCATTAATGTTATTGGCCTCGGGCTTTTATTTCTGTCTTCAGATTATTAATGGGAATGGGAAACTTTAAAAAAAAAAACTGAGCTACTCTTAGAAGATAAATCCCAATTAAAATTTTTGCACAGGTGAACATGCGGCCCCGTGATAACCTAGCTCCCAGTGACAGTCCTGTCTAGTGGCTGGTGGACTAGACTGGCCTCAGAGGCTCTTCCTCGTTGTCACCTTAGGTCATTGTTACAAACTTCATACACTCAACTCCAAGGAGGCCTAAAAATCGTGTTTTTACTAAAATGTGAACGTGGGGGTTCAGGTTACATCATGAGCACCCCACACATCTGGGAGTCTGCACTCCCACCTTAGTGACCATGGCATGGCCACTGCCTGTTTTGCCTGGAGACAGATCTTCTCAGTCCAATGTCCATCCCACAAACCTCTGGACTGAATAAAGTAGACAAATGACATTGTGTTGAGTGTGCAAGCCCACTTTACTTTCTAAGTGAGCCTCCAATTTTAGCACCCAGGTGGGTACTGTTGGGGGGGGCAGCAGGGTCCTGGGTGCTCTCACTGGCAGGTGCTGAGATCACAGAGGAGGAGAATGAGAGTTCAGTGCAGTGGGCTCACGTCTGCAGAGACTGGAAAGCAAAAGCCCTTTGGTGGTCTCTCCACTCGGCTGAACTTAGTGGCGAGTTGTTGGGGGGTCAGCTGAGTTCACAGGTTTTCCCACAGTGAATTTTTGAGAGTTCTAATGTCGCTTTCTTTCTTTTTCTTTTCCCTTTAGCAATAGGCGACTATGAAGACCTTCGAGCAGAGAACCAGAAAACAAAGGAGAAGGTTCGTACTGTACCCCTCCCTTTTCTTACAAGCCTGAACGCCTAGGCAGCATAATGTATTGTTCAGCCACCAATTTCAGTTAAATGTGAATGAGAGGGGTTTTTTCCCCCCTTTTTTTCTCTTTTCTTTTCTCTTGCATGTGTGGTTGAAGCTAATATCAACTCCGGGCTCCAGATGGTAAAGAATAGCAGGCATTGCCACAGTAGGCACAGCCCTGGGAGATTAAGTACGCGGCTAAATGTGTCTCAAGGCACTAGGCTAAGCCTTCCAAGTCCTCAGGAATTGTCCTTTTCTCCTGGTAGTCACACTGGGGACACTGGTGATGGACTCAGAGCCTGGGGACATTTGCTCCTAGGACCCTGGCTCGGTGGGTCCGGAGGGACCTGGGCTTTGGCATTTAGCCATCTCTGTACACCACTTGTGTTTGCTTCTGCTAGATAGGTAGATAATAATACCAGAAGTTGAAAAACACCCAGTGTTTGTACAGGAGAAGTATGCTGAATATTTTCACAGGATCTGAAAGTTTTGTTTTGAACTATGAAATAAGAGAATTCTGTTTACTTTTGTAATCTCTGTCCTTTTTGTCTCTAAAACTGTTTACTTAAGATTTGTGAGTGTTTGCTACGTATGAGAGCTTCAAGACTAATTCTAGCACTTGGGAAGCGAAGGCAGGAGGATTACCATGAGTTCGAGGCTAGCCTGGGCTACAGACTGAGATCCTGTATTGGAAAGCAAGCAGATCTGTGAATGTTTGTGTGCATGTGCATACACACGCATGCTTGAGTGTGCGTGTGTGTTTTTATCCTCCTGTCAGCCTAGGGGAAAAAGAAAAAGATAGAGGGGCTAATAGAAAACAAAAAACAGGATAGAAGAACACGGACTATGGATTTGTTTTAAAATATAAATGAAAGTTATATATAAATTTAAAATGTAATCGTTTTTAACTTGCCACCACTAAATATGGTGCTTTTATCAAATAGGATAGGCAAAATATTTTTTAAAAATGTATCCCTGGCAGAAAAGAAATAAATAAAGCAGCCTGAGGTGGTTTTTACCTAAGAATGAGATTATGATGTCTCATCTCTGTAGTTTTAGAACAAGGGTAATAACAACACTTAGCAGGCAGATAACTAGTTATAAAGCCTGTAGCCTGTTTGGACTTAGTTTATTATGCTCTTAACACACTTATTAGACCTTTTCAGTCATTACGTTTGCCAGCTGCCTAGGCATAGATTGGCTGGTGGCTGTAATGGCAAGGGCTTTGCTCACATACAATTATACTTGCTTTTTAGGTCAGTGTTTTAAATCTATAAGGCTCTCTTGTTTTTGACAATATTTATTTTCTCTTGATTCTATTCATGGGTGAGTCCGTATGTGGGTTTGTGCTTGTGAGGAGGCTGAGCAAGCCAGCAGACTTCCTGGTAGTTGTAAGGTACCCAGTGTGAGTGCTGGGAGCTGAACTGGGTCCTCTGTAAGAGCAGCAAGCACCCTCAAACACTGTGCTATCTGTCCAGCCCCTCCTTTGTACCTTTGTAAATTCATCTTCGGTGCTCTCTGAAATCTTGTTTCCTTTCCTCTCTCAGGCTACCCGAGGGGATGGTAGATGGGGTTGATTTTTAAAAATCCATGCAGAAAGGGAGCTGATATGTAAATCTTTCTAAGGCAAGAAAGCCATGGAGAATAGTTTGAAAAGAAGATTATCAGTTCTGTCGCCGTAAGTCTCCCAAACACAGATGTCCCGGGATGTAAGGTAGTGAAGAGGGTGTGCTTAGACCCTGGTCTCAGGCACATCAAGATCTTAAAGCATACTTCCTGGGGAATGCTTAGGGCTGGCAGTGTGCTGCCCTTTGCTCAGACCAGCTCCAGGAGAGGTCCAAGGGGCTAACAGGGAGGGGAAGAGCCAAGCAGGTTGGAGGGGTTCACACTGCAGGACAGTTTGACTTTCTCTAAACATATGAGGTGGAGCAGGCAGGATGGCTCACTGAGTTTGATCGCTGAATTTTCTGGTAGAAGGTGGGGACCGATTCCCAAAGGTTGTCTTCTGATCTCTACTTGACATGTTCATGCGTGTACACGCACATGTGTCATACGCACATACGTCATATACACACACAGTAAGAATAAATGAAAAGCAGGTTTAAGTAAGATCGGAAGGGAGATAGAAAGCTCGTGTGTCTTCAGGTGGCAGAGAAAGAGGGAACACCCTGCATGTTTTGTTTCTCTTTTCTGTTTCTAATCCGTGGTATCTATAGACCTTGAAATGCCCTTTTAAAAAGTGGCTGTGTGGACACCTGCTCTCCCCGTTGGCGCCACCATAGCTGTTTAACTCAGAGCCACTTTCTTCCGTGGGGTTTGCAGTGAACTGTCTGTTGTGTGCGTGGGATTATAGGTTGGGCTAAAAGAAGGACTGGAAATGACCTGGGCCCAGTAAACTGTTTACTTCTCCGAGCAGAAGACGGGCTGATGCATTTGCAGCATCTGCAGGCGTTATTGACCTGTTTCTGTCCTAATTCTTTAAAAATAACTATTAACAGGAATGAGAAGAAAAGAAATGAAAGCAATATGGAATGCTGTGTGTTGGGAAAAACAAAGAAGACTGAGTGGTTTTAAGTCCACCCCACTCTGTTTACCCTCTATTAAAAGACTGGCTTGCTTATTACTGCAGATTTTTCCCCAAGGTGGGGGGTGTTACAAAGGAGAGAAGCATATAATAAAAGCCTTTTATACGACATAGAAGGAGTAAAAGCAGCTTTAGTTCTGGAGGCGGCAAATGGAGGACACTGTTTTTCTGGGAAAGCACTTTTTTGTGCCTGGCTGCCTGGGCTTTATCGGGTCTGCATCAACAAATACAGGCAGCCATCTTTCCTCTGTGGGGTCCCAGCCTGGAGTTAAATTAAACTCGTCATGGATACTCATTGGAAGAATTCCTTTTTGTTGTAGTTGGTTCGATGTAGGGATATTTGGCAAAATTGGAGGGGAAAAAAATGGCAAGATATTACTCCTGACCGTGTGCCTGCAAGTTTATTTTTCCTTGTTGCCAGGCCAGAAACCTCAGTGGGAAGAGACAGCAGACCTGGTCCCTCTGGATAGGACCTTCTGGTGGCTGCTGCATGTCCCCACGGATGTAGGTTCTGCAGAGGAGGCAGGTGAACAAAGACTGTTCACTTGGAGATGACTGTGGGACCTCTGTGCCCTCTTCTCTCCATGACAGAATGGTTCAGACTGTGTTAGCTTCATTTTGCACAAGCAAACATAAGGACTTGAGGAACAATGAGTTTCCTGAGAACCTACAGGTGATTAGTGACAGATTCCGGGTTTAAACCCAGATCCTATGCCCTCCCTGCTCCTTTACAAACAGGTAAACTTAAGAGAGTATATGGACTCTTTCCAGAAAGAACCTCATTTTATTTTAATGTGTGTGTGTGCGTGTACATGTATGTGTGTATGTGTACTGCAAGTAGGCCTTGACACACGCATGTGTGAGGACGTCAGAGGGCAGCCTCGGGTGTCCTTCCTCTGGTGCTGTCCATTTTTTGTTTGAGGCGTGTTCTCTCATTGGCTTACAGCTTCATCAGGTAGGCGAGGCTAGCCAGGCAGCAAGCCCCAGGGGTCCACTAGGTTCTGCCCCCTCAGCCCTGGAGTCATGGGTGTGTGCCACCATGCCCAGGTTTGTTTATTTTTTTAAATCTGGGTTTGGGGGATAAAACTCAGGTCTTCATATCTGGGCAGCAAGCACTTTCCTGGTTGAACATCTCTTTAGCCATGTTTTTAATGTTAATGTATGAAATTTGCACAGTAAATTATCAGGCCCAGTACATTATACCATCAGTTAGTTTGTATTGAAAAACTGAAATCTAAGTATTAAATTACTCTTTTATTAGAAAAATTCACATATGTGTGTATATATATAAATTCTGTCACCGTGCACTCAAAGAATAGGAATAGGAATAAAAGATTTAGTGGTGGGCCCATGGGTTCTCAGAATCTGTCTGAGTTTTTAAGGAAAGTAATTGAGGGGAAGTCTTTGGCTTGAATGCCTTCTGGCCACATCAAGGAAAGTAGATGAGGTTTTACCTGTTAGTAAAGCCACTAATGAGGGAGGGGACACAGACAGTTGACAAGTAGCTGAGATATTGTCATCGCTGTATGAGTCTCTACAGCTTGGGTAGGACAAGAAAAGACAAAATGACCTGACCCCTGCTTTTTCCATGTGCAGACTTACTCTTTTAATTACAGACTTAAATGTCGTTTATCTCTAAGCCTCCTCTAACTCTCTTACATTGTGATAAGCCATCTGTGTATTCCTCTATGCCTGTCACATCCATCAAGAGAATTTATTATTAGCTCAACATTAAACAGGAGAAGAGGCACGTGCTGTGGGTCCTGGGGAAACATAAAAACCTTGGGATTGTTTATTTGTGTCTTCTGGTCTTTTAGCGTGACAATAAGTGGGAACTATGAAATGGCCTCGTCTCTCCATTATTTTTGCCCATTTTCCAAATGGCATCGTCAGCGAGCAGTGTGTGAAAAGAGGCAGAGAGCATGTCTGTCACATTGGTGTTAACAAACTCTTCCGAATCTGTTTTTGGGGCGTGCAAAAATTGGATGAGTGTGTGTACTTTGGAATCAGCCAAACAAAACGTGCTCCCTTCGTGTGTTGCCACCAATGTTTGAGTGTGAGTCACCCTGCCCCAATCGCAGGACCTTCTCCTGTAACTTGCTCAAAATCTTTGTCATAACCGATTAGGTTTGATTTTTCTCTTTTCCTTTCCCGTGTGTGTGTGTGAGCCTCATGGAGCTTTGAATGGAATGACATTCACATTTCTCAGGGGGTTGGTGGTGTGTGTGTGTGTGTGTGTGTGTGTGTGTGTGTGTATGTGCGCGCGCGGTATGTGTAGAGAGAAGGGAATCTGTGTGATAGAAGAGTGTCTACTACTAAATAGTATTTATGTTTAATATTATGTTCAGAGCCTGAGTTTTGAAATGCAGAAATGTTTAAGTGGCTGATTAGAAACCGTTTGGGTGAGCTACTGTCACCGCGCATCAGACGGTTCTGTCAGCCTGCCAGGAACAATGAATAAAAAGAGATTGAGGCAGACATTTCCAAGACTTGTTTCAAGAAGCAAGATATATGATAGTGTTTGCATCTTGGCTCGGTTGTCTATTGTTACAATTCCATCCTCTCGTATAATATTCAGAGGTGAAGGTCCCAAGTATATTATTTTTTAAAAAAAAATCAATAAAGAAGCCACTCTAAAGAGCAAGATCTGCATCCATTATGATAACTGTTCATGCATAATACATCCACATACATGCGGCTTCTTTGAGACGGAGTGGCAAGTGGTTGTGCCAGAGAAAAAGTAATTACTTAGGGTTTGAAAGTGAAAATGAGTCTCTCATTAACAGCAATCTATCCAGAAACAAAGAGCGGGGGTCTCAGTTCTGATGACAAGTGTTTCCAGCTCACACACAATACTTCGACTTCGGAGGCTGCTGCACGACAGCTTGGGTGGGGGCGGCCACTCCCCCTTTAGCGCCTGTGAAAATTGGAGGGAAAGAACTTTGAATTGGAAGAAAAGAAGAACTCCAAAGGAGAAATGGAGCAAAGGGGTTCCATGTGGATCCAGAGAAGCCAGACTTACCTAGATGGAATGGCAGACCTGGCGGTCCTCTCGCTTTCCCACTGAAGAGTCTGAAGCAGGCACCGGTTCCGATGTCCAGTTCTGATGCTAAACGTTTCCATTTTAAAATAGTGTGACCGGGATGTAAGAGGAACGAACTTCTAAAAAAGATGGTGTGGGCCAAACCTTCCTGCAGGCAGTATAATTGCCCGATTTCTGTCTCTACAAGTCTGCAGCCTTCCTGTCTTGTAGCCCGTGTCCTTGGTCCTTATACCCTGCTCTTCTCATTGTTGGTTTTTGTTTGGGGATCCTAAGTTTCGTGAAACTACAGAATCTAGGTGTTCCCCACCAGGTCTCTGTCAGTGTTGGGCATAGTGCCTGACACTAGATGTAGGTTTGTCCAGTGCAGAGACACCCAGTGGTTCCAGGAAATAATTGCTCAGAATTCCACGTCAGTCAGTGTTAAGGTGTTTGCCTATCCATCTGTTGTCTTCTGTCCCCAAGGTGTGTGGAGACAATGTTCGGGCTTCAAACTGTCCTTTCTACTAGATGACAGTTCTCTCGCACACGTGTGCCCAGATGATAAAATATTAGTGCAAATCAGACACAGTTTGGAGCGTTGAGGTTCTTATTGCGTAAATCACACACGCAGCTGATTGTTAAGTATTTTCTACATCAGTTCAGAGCTTCTGCTGATCCCAGATAAAGAGACATTTATGTTGACAGTGTTGGCTGGTAGGTAGATGGGGGACCAGGGAAGATGCTAGTTCATGCTGAAGAACATTCCGCCGCAACCCAGCCGGCCAGTGTTCTCAGACCCTCATTTGGTTTCACGGGCCAGGTGAGCTTTCACAAGCCGAGATGAGCCTTAATGGTGAGATCTGGAAAGCAGCCTGGGCTTCTCATACAATGGGCTTTCAAAACCACCAAAACCAACCTCCAGTCAATCTACCACTCTCTAAAGAGTCAAAACAGCGTCTCAGTCTAAGCTGTGACATTATTCAGTCTGCTTAAAGCAACCAGCGCTCAGGCAGCCGGGTTCAGCTCCAGCCTTGAGCTACAGAGAATTATCGAGCTTCCTGATTAAGTGATGTCGTCCAAAGAACATCTGTTGCTATTACCAAGTTTTCATGAGCAATTCTCAACACAAAAAGAGACGGCCTTTACAGATGGTACAGCTGCATGAGCAGGGCAGAGGAGAGGGTGGGATGGTTGGGGGCGTCTCTGTGGCACAGAGATGCAAGGCTGCTGCAGGGCCTGTGTCCCTGCGATCTCTCTGCGCTGGTCCATTGGGAGAAAGGTTGCAGGATGCCTCTGCCTTCTCCTGAGATGATGCTGTACAAACAAGCGCGTCCTTCATGGTTCGATCACTTCTGGTGTGGAATCAGTAGGCTGCGCTTGCCGTATGCGTGACCCCTCCCACCCTTTCAGCCTTTCAACATAGCAGATGGTAAACTCAGTGACTGCCAGTTCTATCATAATGTGGTTGCAGAAAATAGAAAGCGAAGCAACCCGAAGCCCCCGAGAGAGCGCAGCTGGGCTTGGGAAACAGCTTGTGACTGTGTGGGCAACTAGAGGTTAGCGCGTGCCGGACTCTACAGAATCGCTTCCCCGCACCTTGGGCTGAGATCTGTTATTAACCAAAGTGTCTACCTGGCTCTTAAGAGCAGTTAGCACCGGCATCAAGTCTTCCCTCTGGGCAGCTGGAATGGGCCTGCCTGTGAAGGCCACGCGTTATTTCTGACCAGGAAATGGGAGACTTGGTGGTGGTTGGTGTGTGACTAGGCAGAGTGCTGAACCCTGTCCCTGTTTACATTCTCATCAAGTTTCTGTGAAAACTGGGCACCTAAGTGGGAACTGGATACGCCTTTAAATGGAATTTTGAGAGGCTCAGCGGGAGATTCAAATGCCTCAAAGTTACAGCATCACCCTGGAGGCCGTCTTGGGAGGAAGAGTTTTCTTCAGAGGACCGTGTACTTGCAGAAGAGACAGAGGGTGAGACAGAGAGTCAAAGAGTCAACGAGGAAGTGCGCACCAGCTATGCCGCACCAGGTGATCACGCCTGGATCCTCTGGAGGCCTCTGGTCTTGGGAGAAGTTTGGATTCTATTTGTGTCTTCTACTGTGCATTGTTGGAGGGGGGTGGGCAGCCTAGGAGGAGTTTGGGGGCGTGTCCAACGCAAACAGGAGTCAGTTACAGAAAGTAAGAGGAACATTCCAGAAGCAGCTGGCGGGCAGTGTCCTGGTTGCTGGTTGGTGTGTTCTTGTTGCTCTTTCATGTGTCAGAAACGGATTCGAGAATCCAGCGCTCTTGAAGACAACTTTTAATACACTAAAAAACTGGCAACAACGAGTGTGGTTTATCTGTTAAACTGGAGCTAGGAACTAGGTGGGGCAGGTTGTCTTTTTACAGAGGATGGATTCCCACAGGGAGCCTTAAACATCCCGCCTTCTTTCTGGTGAATATCTTTGGTCTATTGACTCGTTTATGGGAGAGAAGGCTCCGCTAGGATCTGATGGTCAGCTTTAGTGACTCAGCCCTGTGCCCCTGCTGCATGTGTGATGTACCCTGCAGACAGATGTGTGTGTGTGTAGTATTTCAGGCACGTGAATACCAGGTGTCACGCTCTGTCTCACTCCTCAGCTCTCCCAGTCTATATGTCTCCATCCTCCCATACCCAGCTCTTCCATGGATGCTGAGTGTTTGAACTCAGATCCTCAGGCTTACCCAGCGCTGAGCCGTCTCCCGTCTCCTATCCCTGAGACGGCTTTCAGTGCTTGGTGGTTCTTTTGTGGAGCAGGCCGTATGTAATCTCTTAAAGGAGGAATCCGTTTTAATTCAAGGATAGTCCATTGGTCTGCTACCAAGGAGATAATGAGCAGTGATGACTGTTTACCTTATAGAAAGTTCTAGAAACTCAGCTGGGTACCATGCATGCATCTCTTACTAGGTGAGCAGTACCAACACTGGGGCTGTGGAGAGATTTTTAAAATTCACTTTATTTTTTAATTATGTATTTGTATGTCTTTGTGTGTGTACATCCTAGTACAGTACCCTAGGAGGCCAGAAGAGGCCACCAGGACCCCGGAACTGGGGTTTGTCACTTGTGGTCTGCAAGGCATGGGTGCTGGGGACTGAGCCCGGGTCCTCTGCTCTTAAGAGCGGTGTGCACTCAATGGCTGCAAGCGTTGCTCCAGCCCCCAAGAGATGCTGTGTCCAGGGTGGGCGGGAGGAAAAGTACTGGTGTGGTATGTAAGTTTGCTTTTGCTCCTCACCTGGTCACAGCGAAATTTTATTGTGTGAATTTAACCTTTCTTTCTCTTTTTCATTTCAGTGTGACAAAATTAGGCAAGAACGAGATGAAGCTGTTAAAAAACTGGAAGAATTTCAGAAAAGTATGTAAACATTTCTAGTGGAGTAATAATCACTTGACTTTGGGGATTGTATGAGTGGACTGAGACCAAGCTGACTGAAGGTGTCCTGATCATATCAGCAAGAGAAAAACAGACTCATTTTGGGGAAAAAAAGTGAAAGCAATGGAATAAGTATTAATAATCTATAAATGTCTTATAAAAATTTAAGCTTGTGGTAAGAAAAGTTCGCTATGGAAAAAAAAATCAAAGAAAAACAAAATTCATTTGTTACTTAGACTCCTTGAGAAAAGCCATAGTTAGTATTTTGTATTCTATCCTGTGTGGCCTTTATGAAATATGTGTTTCTATAAAAAGTACATATTTTAGATTCTGTTTTATAGCCTCCTTCTTTCAGTAAACAGTGTGTCTTTGTGTGTCAGCAGAAGTACAGGTCAGTTCTAATTGTTGTCTTTTTTTAGCCTGTAGTATATAATACACATACAAGTATATAAACGTCGTAAAGTCCTCTGCCCTTCCCTGCCTTCTAAGGGCCACCCCTTGCCACAGCTGTATTTGCTGTCTGTCATTTCATGGTATTACATTTTTGTTTATACTATATGGATCATGAAATAATATGAATAATGTAACTATAAGAAGTATTTATTGGTGCATGCTTGAGGTATCATTTGTCATATACTTGTATTTATATTTATATATATAACTGTAATCATTTTCGCTACTCTGTAGTGTATGAATGTATTGTGATATCATTTGTCATATACTTGTATTCATACACACAACTGTAATCATTTTTACTACCCTGTGTAGTGTATGAATGTGTTGTGATATCATTTGTCATATACTTGTATTCATATACACAGCTGTAATCATTTTCACTACCCTGTGTAGTGTATGAATGTATTGTGATATCATTTGTCATATACTTGTATTCATAAACACAACTGTAATCATTTTAACTACCCTGTGTAGTGTATGAATGTGTTGTGATATCATTTGTCATATACTTGTATTCATATACACAACTGTAATCATTTTAACTACCCTGTGTAGTGTATGAATGTGTTGTGATTTGCTATTATTGCACCCTGCACATTTTTGGGCAGCTCGTTGTGCAAACATTATTAGCAATTACATATAATACATTATCTATATAGTAATAAGTGCTATAACTTTGTTCTCTTGTCATCATTTCTATTTTAGGGGATGGGGTTTCGAGACAGAGTTTCTCTGTGTAACAGCCCTGGCTGTTCTGGAATTTTCTTCGTAGGCCAGGCTGCCTCGTCTGCTTGCCTCTGACTCCCGAGTGCTAGGATTAGAGGCATGTGACCACTGCCCTGCTAAATGTTTCTATCTTTTAAAGTACTATCAATAATGCGATTAGTTTCATAGGTTCGTTCAAGGAAAAGGAATTGTGCCAGGGATTTATATCGATATGGGCATATAGCTACCAAAACTTCATTGCGTATTTGTAAGTGTACTCTATCAGGGGAGATCTTATTTCCATTGTTCTAAATAGAGGATGGAGACGCAGTTGGGTCGTATAGCTCCTGCCTAGCACGTGTGAGGAGGTTTGAGTCCCAGCACTTAATCAATCACTTCCTATCAATCTATGGAAGGAGACTATAGGAGACATTGAGTGTGTCCATGACCTCCATGGGACAATGGTTTCGTGAAGAATTTTTTTATCCCCCACTCATCAAGTCGTGTATATTAATTATGTAAACTACTTACTCATCACCTAGACCTCAGTAAAGTGGTTAAGGAACGTGCCAAGAGCAGTTACCATTTTCTGGAGTTGGGAGAGATTGAAAACACTCAGACTGAGTTATATCCTCAGTGAAGCAATAGTAATTTTCTTCCAGATTTTTACTGTTATTTTCTATATGACATAAATCTGTTAATTTATCCACAAAGTCAGGACATAGATGTTCAGATCCCAAAGTGTCATATGCGAATATGTTGTGGGCAAAGAACCAGACGTTGCAAGAAAATAACCCTCTCCCTTGCAAGCTGGACCTTTCTAGATTGTTCTGCAGAGGCTCCAATGTCAGGAGACAGGTACCAACACAGTCAGCCCTCAGCAAGACATTTTACCCCTCTGAAAAATGAAACACCTGTCCGATGCAATGGTTCAACAGCCTGTTCATCTCATCGTCTCGCTACAACAAAGACCCTCACAGGGTAATCTCGTGGGTATCACTGTCTGTGGAAGACCAGAGACTAGGGCAGAAACGCCGCTTTCCTGTGAGCGGGTGGATGGCAGTTGCATTGAATTTTCTCCTTCTCTCACGTGGGGCTGATAGCATCCAAATGAATACACTTGGAAAGAGCAAGCCCATGGTATTGTGGCTAGTTAGCGTGCTTGAATTATTGATAGCGGAGTGGTGTGCTGTGTGAAGTGGCCTGGCTCAGGTTTCTTAGGCTTCAGTTTGCACAGCATGTTTTGATACAGGTAGGCGGTAGGTATTTGCCTCCTGTATTCAGCAAGAACAAAAACAACTTCCCCCACGTTGCTTTCACCTACCACGTCCCTTCAAAAGTGGCTTTTCCTCTGAAGACGCTGATCGTTCTAGGAGCAACTCAGATTAGGACCTGAAGGGATGCATTGAAATGTTAACACAATAGTCGCTATTGTTAGATGCGTTTAATTTTTACTTTTATTAAGCCTGGTTAGTTAAAGTCCGAATGGTAGGAAGTCAGAATGTGAATTCTCTAAAGATTATGTTTGTACACTAATTGTGAGTGCGTGTACACATGTGGAGGTCAGAGGTCAACCTGTGGGTGTCGGTTCTCTCGACCGTGTGGGTTCCAGGATCAAACTCAGGTCATCACGATTAGTGGCAAGTTCCTTTACCTACTGAGCCATTCTGCTGGCCCAAAAAGTGATTTCTATTTTTTCTCTCTCTCTTTTTTCGTTTTTGTTTTTTGTTTGTTTGTTTGTTTTTTGAGACAGGGTTTCTCTATAGCTTTGGAGCCTTGTCCTGGAACTCACTCTTGTAGACCAGGCTGGTCTCGTACTCACAGAGATTCACCTGCCTCTGCCTCCTGAGTGCTGGGATTAAAGGCGTGCACCGCCATCACCCAGCCAATTTCTAATTTTTTCCCTCCATTTTTCAAGGCATGGTTTCTCAGGGTTTCTTGGCTATCCTCCTATTCACTTTGTAGACCACACTGGCCTCGAACTCACAGAGATCTTCCCGCCTCTTCTTCCCAAGCACTGGGATCAGAGGCGCATGCCACCACCACCCAGCTAAATGTGAATTCTTTACTCAGTCTTAAAGAGAGAATGGGAATAGTAGAGTTTTATTTCTGGAGAGCTAAGGATGTGTCTCTGTTGGTAAAGTGCTTGCCTAGAATGCTCCAAGTTGTAGGTTTTATTCTTTGAGGCCAGGTAAAAACAAGGCTTGGTCTTGCAGGCCTGTAATCCCTACCCTCAGGGAGGCAGAGGGACTGGAAGTTCAAGGTCATTCAAGGTCATCCTTGGGTTCAGTTTGAAGCCCTTCTATTTCAAGAGCTGACCTCAAAACAAAAGAAAATTTTCTTTCTTTAAAAGTTGAATTTGAGGTAAATAGTTCATGGCTTTGAACAGACTTTGAGATTTCGAAGAGACCATTACTGATTTCTTCAGTGTGGGCTCTATTGGTCATGAGCCCATGTGGCCTTGAACAAGTTTCTGCATTAGTAAATTTGGGGTGAATTACTAAATTTGAGTGGAAAAGAAAATATACATAAAAGAGCTCATCCCTGCTGCTGATGGCACACATCTTTAATACCAACACGAAGGATGCAGAGGACAGCCTGATCTACAGAGCAAGTTCCAGGACAACCAGGGCTACAGAGAAACTCCTACTCCAAAATAAAACAAAGCAAAACAAAAACCAAAAAGGAAAGAGCTCACCCTGTGAGCTGGGATATAATAGGTGCTCAAATTGCTGCCATGGCATCCAGCCTCTGACGTCATCAGACTGCCAGGTCGATGCTCATCCCTGAACGTGGAGCTCCTGCAGCTGTACGGGTTTGCTTGGCTGCCCTGAAATGTCTGTCACGCTTACCCACCAGGTCTGCCTCCCGAGGATGCCAGGCAAGGGCTCTGCCAGGGCCCAGGCTTCCTCAGCCTGGCTTGGCTTTCCTTTCCTAGGGTAACTACAACTCTGGTCATGGCTTCATGTTGTTCTTGGCCCTCTGCCAGTTCATCCTTAGCCTGTCTCTGAGTTTCTCCACACAAAGAGGGAAGCCATGTGCCCACAGTAAAGTCCCTTCTTATGCTGTGGTGATAGACCCTGGGTTGTGTTTAAGGCTGCACATGTTTTTCTGCATGGGTTCTTCCTTGGTTCTTCTCATGTCGCGTGAGAGCTTGTCTGGGAGCCAAGCATGTTTCTCAGCTGTAGGAGACCCTGGGTTTGATCCCTGAAATTATACGAATCAGGTGTGGTGTGCAGGTCTGTCATCACCTCAGCATTTAGGAGGCAGAGGCAGCTGCATCAGAAGTTTAAGTTCATCTTTGGCTACACAGTGAGTCTGAGATCCCATCTAAAAACAAAACAAAATGGAACAACATTGACAGCAAAAGCCCCACTGCTTGTAGCAACAACAACAACAAAAATCTTTTTTAAACAATCTGGTACTGAAGAAAAGAGTATATTCAGGGCCTGTACTTCAAAGAGCCTGCAGGTTGCTCTGTTGTGGAAAGGACTTGCTGAAGCAACAAGATCTTCGGAGTTGACAGTCTCAACTATAACATGTTTTAGAAGGACCACGGAAATCTGGAGTGTCCTAGAATGGGTTTGATGGGGCCTTATCAGTCAGCGCTGCACAGGGAAAGGGTTACTTTACCCCTGGGTCCTAGTATTCTCAGATAAAATGCCAGGATTGCATCTACTCTGTAGGGATGTTTCTGAGAACTCATGGGAACACACATCCTAGGACAAGGCTAGACACAGGCCCAGTAAATGATAAGCAATTCTGTAGCAGATCCGGCATCCATCTTCAGCTCTTCAAACCAAAGGTCTACTGTGTAGGTAGTGTTGTTCAAAGTGCAAGAGAACCAGACATACATGAACCCAAATCCGTGTTTTACAGCCGGGTGTGGTGATGTATGCCTGTAATTCCGTCGCTCACAGCACAGACGAGACCGTAGCCATGACTAAGACTTGTCTGGTCTACAGAGAAAATTCTGGGACTTTATAAAAAAATCAAATAAAATCCTAATAAAGTGCATGTTCTGTAGAAGTAGGGAATTTGTTAAGTAGACCCCCAAGCCCTACAGTGTGATGTGTTCTCTAGTGCTGTATATAAGAGTGCAGTATTCTGAACTCATAGATGAAGAGACATGAACTTTGTTAATTCAACCAGAATGGTAGAAATAACAGCCAGTGTACCTTTGTTATACATGTGAGTTCCTGAGCCTTAATTTTATTGAGTTTCATTTTATTTTTGAGGTGAGGTCTCATGTATCTCACTCTGGCCTTGAACTCCTCATACGTGAGAATGACCTTGAACTTCTGGTCTTTCTACTCCGCGAGAGACAGGATTACATTGTGTGCTGTTTTCCCAAAGATGCTGGAGATGGGATCCAGGACTTCCTGTATGCTAGGAAACACTCTATCCATGGAGCTACATCCCCAGCCCTTAAAGGCTTTTCTTACGAAATTTTTCAAAGTGATAGAAAAACGAGAAGATAGCACCATGAGCCCCTCCTGTATCCACAACCCAGCGGGTACCATCTCAAGTCCTTGTTGCTCACACGTTCGCCTGACTGAGTGCATACAATGAAGCCAGTGTTAGTCTTTGTATTGCTTTAAAATTTGCTGACAATGAATAGCTTACTATGAATTTTTGTTTGCTTCGAAAGCATAACTACAGTCTTAGGGCCCCTTTCCTATCTATCTTTCTCTTTATTTTTCTTTCTTCTTCTTTTATTTATTTTTTTTTCCTGAGACAGGCTCTCACTGTGTAGTCCTAGCTGACCTGGAACATACTGTGTAGACCTGGCTGGCCTAAACTCAGAGATCAGCCTGCATCTGCCTCCTGACTGCTGGAGTTGAAGATGTCGATCACTGGTCCCTGCTGGTCTAGTTTTTCTTTATTAAACATTGTATTAAACAAAAATGGAATATCGTAGGTGAAGTGTCCGGTAGTCATAGATAAGAGAAAAGTTCCAATTATTAAATGAATAGCTAAAGATTTTTTTTAAAGGATTCTTAGAAAAGGGCAAATAAGGCCAGGCCAGATTGCTCAGTGGATGAAGGTGCCTGCCTCCAAGCCCAATGACCTGAGTTCAATTCCCGGGACCTCCATGGCAGAAGGAGAGAGCCAACTGCAGCAGGTTGTCCTCTGACCTCCACACTGCACTGTGGTTGCATTCACACAAACATATATTTAACAAAATTAAAACAAAAGGACAAAGAAATTAATACTTCAGAACTACTTCTGTTTTCTGTCATGCGGCCTGAATTTTGGATTTGGAAAGGATGCTCTCCCTTTAATAGATATAAATGGCTCTTGTTGCATATTCTCTGGACCAGGGATACAGTTGATAAACAGATCTCTGTGCTATCAGTTTGCATTGAGGGGAGTTTCTGAAACTAAAGATTGTGGCACAGTTTAAAATGTGCTGCTGCTTCCCTCCCTGGGAGAGGGATGCCCCTCCCCCGCCAGACAGAGTGTACCCGGTGTCTGAAGAAGCAAGGTAAACCACAGGACAGCGTTTTACAAAATGTTCAGAAAATACGGGCTGCTCCTCCTTGTTATGTTTTGCTAGGCCTAAGCCTCTCGACTGCAGAATGATTTTTTTCCTTACTTTCATGAGCAAGAATGTTATTGAATAAAAAGTCAAATTCCTATGAAAAATGCAGAGTGTTTATGTTTTTGTTATGAGACTAGAAATACCAGATTGTGGCAGGAGATGTCAAGTAGTTAAGGCTAAAAAAATTCAAAGTAATATTTGATGTTGTAAAAATTGTATAGGTTTCTTTTCTCTTTCCTTCACATTTTTTGAAGAACCTACCTTGTAAACATAGTGATAAAATGCCAGGAATATTAGGATTTTAAGGAAATAATAGAGCCTATTATTTAAACTACAATATAAAAGGCAATTACATTGATGAAGAGCTACATGGGCTTTGTGTGTATGAATAAACTTGGCCCGTGTTCAGCTTCTATTTGTTTCTCTGGTATAAACACATATTGTGTGTGATTCCAGTTTAATGGGGACCCGTTTGTATGCCAAGCAGCTGCATTTTAGGACCTATTGCGTGATTTCATAGCTCTCTGGAAATTGGTTCTATTCAGGACAGGAGATAGAAGAGGACAAGGGGGGGTGGTGTGAGGGGGGGGAGCTTCAACACACAATCATTTCTTTTCAATTGGAGCCAGAAAGGTTGATGGCAACATGACCATTGTGTTATAATGATAAGACCACTAAGGCCTCTGTACCTCTCATCACGGCTTTCACTCCAGAGCAGATACAATTTAATTCACTGCTCCGTCAGCAATGCTGACACCATTATGCCGTCTGTCTCCACAGTTATAATCACTGTCCTCTGAGAAATGCGGCTGAAATGATCTTGAGCAGTCAAAGAAACTCTCAATTAAGGCTGCCACTTCCAATGTGTCAGATTGTGTCTTATGCACTTGGTACAATTTTCACCTCCAATCCTGTTTATTTACAATGTCTACCAGTAATTACGCTTAACGTGTCATTTAGTGAGGGGGGCCCCTGCCAAGCCGATTGTTGGGTGCTGCAGCACCATTGAGTGGGAGTTTCTCGAAGTCAATGCCATCAGCAGCTTTTAGGCCCCGATGGGATGCGGTAGTCGCGTTGATAATGCAAGTATCGCGCTCATCAAGTCATAATTAGATGCCACTCAAATGTGCCACTTGTAATAACAGTGTTGATTCATGTTTTTCTCGGTGACTGCAACTACTAATTAGTTAAGTGGTTTTTGGTTGGCCCGCATTTGCAACAGATTATTACCCCTGAAAAAATGTCAAGGTTAGAGATGTTTCTGGCCATTTAGTTCTGCTTTATGAATTTGAATATTAACATAATAAGAACTTTGGACAGACTTAGGAAGTAATACATTTTTTTTGTATTTAATTTAGAAAGAAAAAATTTTCCCCCTGAGTTTAATCATAATTGCAGGTTAATTAAGCTTAAATGAAGCGAAAGTAATCTGTCTTTGTGTTAGATGAGCCCAGGGCTCTTTGCTAACTTTGTTGGGTTTCACATTTGGGTGTCCTTTAATTTTTTTTTCTCCTTATGCCAAACAAATGGAAGTCAGTCTACATATGTAGAGTTAGGGTTGAGATTCTGAGATTTTTTTTTTCTTCTGACTAGAAATGTGGGTGGGAAAATTCACATCTTTTTTCTTGCTTAATATTCAAAATATCATTCCAGGTCTGAATTAACATGCCTTTAAATCTCAATTTGCATAAAGCAGCAACCCAAAAAATCTAAAGATTAAAATAAATTTCAAGTGTTGGCAAAATACCAAGTAAAATTTGATTTTTCTTCTTCTCCTAATGGTACTTTATTTTGCGATAAAAAAATTTATAAGTACCTGTTTTCTCATCACATGACTGATAAGTGTTGGCACTACACTTTTCTGACCTGTAGTTTTTGTCATTATTGAAGATGAACATCACAACACTTAGCTAGTCATCCACGTTACTAAGCAGCTCATTTTTCATATTAGACCCACAAGTTATGTCTAGACTGATCAAAAGCTACCCTAGTGTCACTTTTTATTTATGGGAGCTTCTTTTGTTTACTTGAGTATATGTTTATTGCCATGGAAACAGCAGCATAAGAAACAAACACTTTAGGGGCAGGAGAGCCAGCTCAATCAAGGTAACACGCTTGCTGGGCAAGCACGAGGACCCACGTTTGATCTCCAGCACCCCACAAAAAGCCAGGTGTGGTGGTATGTGCCTGTAATCTCACCGCTGGGGAGACAGCGACAAGGATCTCCCCTCCATTCACCAGCCAGAGAACCTCACTCAATCAGCAAGCCCCAGGCCAGTGGGACACCCTGCACACCCTGCTTTATGAAAACAGGGTGGATAACGTTTGAGGAATGAATCCTAAAATTGGCCTGTGGCTTTCACATGCATGTGTACAGGCATGTATGCACACGTGTGCATATACACATATATACACACAGATGAGAGAGACAGACATTCAGATGTCTGTCTTTTAGAGACAAAGTCTTATAAAATTTTACGTATGTAATAGTTGAAGTTTGTACTTTGTGTGTTTTTCTTTCTACATACATACATTAGATGAGATTTAGTCAAAGGCGGCTTCTGAGGAACTTTTAATCATGGCCAAAGGTCTAGCTTTGGGAAGAATTGAAGCATTCTTGGTCATGGGGCAGTGTGTGGGCTTCTGGAATAGTTGACTAATCTTTGAATGCTGAGCCTCTTTTTCCTCTTCATTCCTAGTTTCTCACATGGTCATAGAGGAAGTGAATTTCATGCAGAACCATCTTGAGATAGAGAAGACGTGTCGGGAGAGTGCTGAAGCCTTGGCAACAAAGGTGAGCTGTGTAGGCCAGAGTTGCGCTTGTTGGTCTTCTAACGAGCTGGTCTCTCCTGCTCTGTTTCTAATTCTCTGCCCACTCATGTGCTCTGAGAGGGAGGCGTAAAGTCCCAGATCCTGCAGCATGATTCTGTAAGCATCTGCCTGCATAGAAGCCCTTTTCTGATTATAAAAGCAGACTCTGTGTGTGTTTGTGTATGTGTTGTGTGTATGTGGGTGCTTGTGAGTGTATGTTTTATGTGTGTGCTTGTGTGTGTGTCTGTGTGCGGATGTTTGTGTCTGTAGTGTGGGTGGGTGCTTGTGTGTGTTGTGTGTGGGGGTGCTTGTATGTGTGTTGTGTGTGTGTTTGTGTGTGGGGTGCTTGTGTGTGTTTTGTATGTGTGTGTGCGTGTGTGTATGGGTACGTGTGTGTTGTGTGTTTATGTGGAGGGGTGCTTGTGTGTATGTGTGTGTGTGTTTTGTGTGTGTGTGTGTGTGTTCTCAGCACTGTGCCCATCTGACCTGGGAGGAGCAGTCCATGGGGCAGACTGCTAGGCTAGCCTTTCCCACCGCCTAGCCGTGTGGTTACACTGCTGCACGGACCTGGTGCTGCACACACAGCTCTGGGCATTTTCTGCTGGAGTCTGATGAGAGAGTCAGCCTGAGCCTTCCATTTCAGGTGGTTATTTGTGAAAGCAGAGGGAGGGCATGTGGAAGGTGACCTCCATTGCGCCACTGATTGCCTCTGGCTGATGATTTTACCAAGTGTGTAATTTTCTATATTCTGTCTCATCAGAATTACATTATTATTAAAGAATGTTTTTATCTCTGTCTTATGTATTTTGGGTAAAAAGCGTCCATCAGAAAATGGATTACAGCAATTTCCAACCAAATTTCATTAGTGATGCTGGTTGTGTCCCCCACCCCCCACTCCCATACCACTCACCTCCGAAGAAATACTTTGGATGTGACTGAAATCCTGCTACCGATAGATAAATAAATAAATAAATGTATCTAATTTGTATGCATTAGCAGTGTGCTTGCTAACGGTATCTGCTTAGTTGTTTGCATAGTGACCTGTACTAGGATTCATAAGATACTGAATCAGAGTGTAACGAGGACCATGAATCTCCCTGTGCAACTTCTTTCCTGGTACTGGTCTAATGCATGCATAGCATTACGGGTCGCTGCTTTGAAACACGGATAGAATGGGCACGCTTACATTGCTTTCAATCTCCCTAGCACTTCAGTCCCTGATCCTGGGTGCTCTTTTCATTCCTGTACTGCTTCTGGGATGAGCAGAGACACAGTGTATTTGGACGAGGTTGATTTCCCCGAATCTTCTCCATGCCCAAGGGTGTCTCTGTGTTACATACATCCAGATGAGTATACCCCTGCCTCTTAGGACTGGCAGGGCGTATGGAAAGCAATGGCTTCGGGTCAGCATGAGCACACTTGTCTCATTTCTAGGTGCATCATTTGGGGCATATGAGACTCTGAGCAGGCTAGCTCTGCTCTCTGGTCATCCCTTCTGGGTGACAAGGTGGACAGAGGTTACAACATTTACGGTGTAACTTCTTCAAGATGCTCTGAAATTGTTGGTCCAAACATAGCCTTCTTTAAACATTATTTTATCCCTTTTGTATTCTGTGTGTTTGCATATGTGTCAATGTGATGATGTCTGTGTATATGCTTATATAGGTATGTGTGTATATGTGTGTGTGTGTACACGTGTGGGTGCAGGTATGCCTGTGCACATGTGTCTGTAACCCAGGGGTCAACTTTGAGCATTACAGCATTTCCCTCTGTCACTTTTGGTCTCTCACTGAACCTGGATCTGTTTGAGCTGCGCTGGCTGGCCTGCAAGTCCTCCACCTGCGTGTCTCTACCTCGCCAGCACTGGAGTCAGTCACGTTCCACTCTACCCGCTGTGTTACACATGTGCTGAGGACCAGAACTCCATTTTTTATGCGTTTACTGCTAGCACTTTGCCCAACAGCCCGTCCGTCTTCCCAGCAAGCCTCTTGTTTTAACAAGTGACTTTGGTGAGAGGCTTCATCCCTGTGAGCTGTAATTGTCTTTCTTCAATCGCCAGGGCTTTCTTAGGACTGTTCCATGGCGAGATGTGGTGTAGGCATTAGTGGGTTGCAAAGCCGCCAGGTGATGGGTGGTTTATGTCTGCTCATCCGTCACTGTGCTCTCTGTCCCTAAGCCTCGTCTTATAATGGGCCCCTTAGTGCACGACATTCTGATCCATAAGAAGTCTTTTCTAAAGTAGACACGTAGTTTGTTTTTGAGGATCTGTGATGAACTCTTGGGACCTGAAGAAAGAAAGTTAAAAATGGATGTGATGACTCAGTGGTTAAGAGTGTGCTGCTCCTCCAGAGGACCCAAGTTCAATTCCCAGCACCCATATAGGCAGTTCATATAGAATCCCAGCTGCGGGGGATTTATGGGAACACGTGTTCTCTGCAATACCCTCTAGATACATACACACAAAATTTAAAAAGAATAAATAAAAAGAAAAGTTTTTGTTGCTGTTGTTGCTTTTTCTTTAATTTTTTTTCTCAAGAAAGGGTTTGTCTGTGTAGTCCTGGCTGTCCTGGAACTCACTCTGTAGACCAGGCTCGCCTTGAACTCACAAAGATCCACTTGCCTCCACCTCCCGAGTACCGGGATTAAAGGTGTGCACCACCACCTGGCCAAATGGGACATTCTTATGGTACAATTTGACCTCGTCAATCTCTTACAAGTGTGGCTCCTCTGTTTTGCTAAGGTATGCAGGCGACGTTGGTAAGTTACCGTGTATTTGAAGCCGTCTGACCCACATCTATTTAGTTACCCCTTCTTTGTGCACTGTGCCCAGTGTAACCACTGTGTAAACTTCTATAAAGTAGCGAGTTCAGCAAGTGTAGGGTGAAGGCAGGTTTACTTTTGCCTTGGGATTTAGAGAATTTCAAATGAGTACACAGGATCACTTCTACAACCAGACCAAGGATGACGCTGGGATCTGTTCCCTAAAATGCATGGATCTGGACTCCTCAAATGTCTATGTATAATCCCTGAGATTTCATTTGTTTAAATCTTGTATTTTTCTTTCAAAGGATGAGAGTGGTCTGGGGCTCTGGGCTCCCTGCCTCTCTCTGCGTATTGCTTGCTTTATGATTTTACTGCAGGATCCCTTCTACCCTCAGTCCTGTAGTGGAGGGTGGCTGGCGTCACCTCTCATGGTCAGACATACAGAAACTCTTTTTCTTTTTTCTCCAGTATCATATTTCTAGAGAAAAGATCTGATTGGCTAACTGTGGGTTGTGTGTACTACTTCTGGTTTATTAGCTGTGGCCAATGACATTGTCTTCCCACAGAAACTGGATGAACATAAAGGAAGGGGAGCTGGGAAAACAGACCTGTATTCAATATTCTCAGCACAACATCAAATAGGAAATTTGCTTGAAATAAAGTGATTTATATTAAGACTATTAGGAGCTAGAAATTCTGGTACTTTATCTAAATTCCTTATGTTTCTTTCTTCTTCATTTGTGTGTGTGTGTGTGAGTGTGGTGTTCTATGAGTGTGGCTATATTCACGCCATAGCCTGCATGTGTGTGTGTGCATGTGTGTGTGTGTTCTTTGAACGTGGCTGTACTCATGCCATAGCCTGCATGTGTAGTGTATATGTGTGTGTGTTTGTGTATGTGTGTGTTCTATGAACGTGGTTGTACTCACGCCATAGCATGCATGTGTGTGCGTGTACATGTGTGTATGTGTTCTATGAACATGGCTGTACTCACGCCATAGCCTGTGTGTGTGTATGTGCTCTATGAACGTGGTTGTACTCACACCATAGCATGCATGTGTGTGCATGTACATGTGTGTGTATGTGTTCTATGAACATGGCTGTACTCACGCTATAGCCTGCATGTGTGTGTGTGTGTGCGCGTGTACATGTGTGTGTATGTGTTCTATGAACGTGGCTGTACTCACGCCATAGCCTGCATGTGTATTTCAGAGGACAACTTTCGGGCACTGGTTCCCTTTGTTTTTATCGTGAATTCTGGGGATGAACTGTAAAGGCCAGAAATGGCTATCCGACCCCTGCAGCTGGGTACAGGTTCTCAGGTTTAAGAACTTTTACCCCCGACTTTCTCCAGCCCCCTTTGTATTTCTTAATGTTTAAAACCAGCATTTCCACTCACTGCTGCTGTAATCCAGGAATGAGACCTCACTTAAAGGAATAAACTTAATATTAAAACATGTAAGTAATTTATCTATTGACTGAATTTACCCGTTACATCCTATGTGAATGTCAATGCATGTGTAGCACAAAAAACACACTTAGTTCATTTATTGTTTACAAATCCAAGATACTCATTTGATGACTGGTAAAATCACCAATCTTTTCTATTTCCTTTTTTAGCTAAACAAAGAGAATAAAACACTGAAAAGAATCAGCATGCTATACATGGCCAAGCTGGGACCAGATGTGATAACAGAGGAGATCAACATTGACGATGACGACCCTGCCACCGACACGGACGGTGCAGTCGAGACTTGTGTATCGGTTCAGTGCCAGAAACAAATCAAAGGTGGGATTCCGCTGTTCCTGCTGCGACAGGGCTTCAGGTCTCTGACGGCACAGCAGACTCTCAGGAGGAGTTTTGAAAACACATGGGGCTGGGGAGATGGCTCAGTGGGTCAGAGCACTTGCTAAGCAAGCATGAGGAGCCAAGTTCAAATTCCCAGCATCCACGTAAGAGCCTACATAGATGTACATGTCTGTAATACCAGAACTGGGAGGTGTGGCCACAGGAGGATAACTGGGACTTGCTAGCCAGCCAGTCTGGCTAGGATAGCAGTGAGCTGCAGGCTTCCAGGCTTGACACAGGCCCTGTTTGGGAGGGATGAGGCCTAGAATGAGAGGGCAGGACAAACGTGACTTCCTCTTTGGCCTTTATACACGCATGAGCACACATACATCGTGCACATACCCTGGAAGAATTTTTCAGAGTACTGTTGGCTGGGTCCTACACCAAAACTTCTGACTTAATTAGCCAGGGAAGCCAGGAGAGCTGAGTAAGAGTGTTGTTCCTCTCTTGCTTGGTGGGTTGCTTTCATGTTTGGAATGAGGCACCCTCAAGTGTGGCCTGGCTGGAAATGGGAGTCTCTGTAACTTTAAGAACTTGAATCATGGCTTCATTTTCATTTTTAAGATTTATTTTATATGTATGAGTTTTTCACCCGCATGTATGTGTGTGCGGTGTTATGACACACTGTGGTTGAAGCTTTCTCTCACTTTGCCGGTGGTATAGCCAGGAATATGGCGAGAGTGTATCATGTGTAAAGGGCAAAATTCAATGCCCAGCACCGAAGTGTGTGAGTGTGTGTGTGTGTGTGTGAGAGAGAGAGAGAGAGAGAGAGAGAGAGAGAGAGAGAGAGAGAGAGAGAGGGGTATTTGGGTCTCTGTTGTAATCATGGAAAGAGATCTTTTGTTAAGATGCTGGAAAACAGGTGCCCAATTCAATAGCTAACATGTGGCTCAGTACATGTTCAGAAGTTGGACTTATTATTTTGCAGGGAGACAGAATTTCAGATGGAAGTGTAAGGAGGAGAGGATGCTCCCTGACTTCACTGGGCTCCTCAACTTCTTACATTAAGATGAAATAGGGTGCAGTGGTTGGGAGGGGGTGTCAAGGCCTCCCTCTGTCCATTGTTCTCCCTTCTGAGTCTTGGACAATATGGCCTCATGTTCTTCTTCTGGAATTAGTCAGCTGCAACCAACCTCAGCTCAAACAGGTTGGAAGGTGGCCAACCTATGCCCTGAGCTGTACCTGCTTTCTGCATGTGTGTTAGCGTGTGTATACTTGTAGTCACATACATGAGTGTGCACACACATATGCACACAATAGAAAGGAAAATGGAATTATGGATGGTAGGAAAAAGAGCGGAACTGGAAATATTATTTTAAATGAGGTAACTAAGGCTCGAAAAGACAAGTGCCATGCATTCTGTCTTGTTTGTAGATTCTAGCATCTCATTCTCTCTTTGTGTGTTTGTAAGGAGATAAAGGTAAGAAGGTGGCATGAAGTTAGACAGAGATTCATGATGGGGAAAAATGGTGTCTTAAGCAGTGAGGATGCTGAAAGACTTAAGGGGAGCCCTGGGGGCTGAAGGGAACAGTGGGGAGTAGAGAGGCATGTGTTGGGGTGGAGAATGAATCAAAACAAAAGATGAACGAAAATGCCACAAGGAAGCCTGTTACTTTGCCAATTAAAAAGCAAAATGAAGTTTATTTTAAATGTCCTTCCTTTAAAATGGCAGAACTCCGAGATCAAATTGTGTCTGTCCAAGAAGAAAAGAAGGTGCTAGCCATTGAGCTGGAAAATCTCAAGAGCAAACTTGTGGAGGCGATGGAGGAAGTAGGTACCTCAGGCCTGGGAGGCAAGTCCTTGGTTTTTGAACTGACAGCAGCTTCGGGGTTGCCTAAGTTACAGACTTGCTCCTGAGAGATAACTTTTGATACTGGCGCATGGGTTTGTCAGCTTTCCTTCCCTCCCCTCTTTCAGTCATTCAGACCATGAACACGCATCACCCCCTAGCTCAGCCAATCAGACTGCAAGGCAGCCCTGGTGTGCAGGGTCACGTGTTGTCGCCCACTCTGTCTTGTGAGAGGCAGGTTTGTAGAAAGGTGACTCCTATCTCAGGTCACAGAGGCTGTTGCCCTGGGGAAGAAAGCCAAGGGTAGAGAGTTCAGTGGACAGACAGCTTAGTGTGGGCGGGCCCCTGCTGTGCATCCTTGCTGTAGAACAGAAACAGCTAGAGGAGAGTCTAGGGTGATTTGGGAGAACCTTGTTATCTTGCTTTTTATTTTGCTTTTATCTGCGCACAAGCAGAGGGCTACTCAATTACTCAATCTTATCTGTAATGAGGCTTCAAGGACCTGCCTTCACAACCTTGATTTAACAGGAGTCCTTGGACCTCTGACTCTGTAGTCCTGAGTTTCCCAACCAGCATCTGCCAGCCTTGTGGCAGCCCCAGGTGTCTTGAGTGGCCCGTGAGTGAGCAGTCTCACCTGGTTGGCTCCCTTACTGCACACACTGTCAGCTCCCTGAGGACTTTCACACACAAAGGCTGGGCAGCCATGCCCTCCAGCCTCCCTACTCAAACTGTTCTTGCTTTGTTTCACCCGAACAGAGTAATAATGGGGAAAGGAGGGCAATCTTAGGAGGGATTTCCCTGTTGGACATTGTATGCCAGTTACTAATGCCAACCAAAACAAAAAATGGATTTATATGAAGAGAAACCAGTTCTTGAGCTTTCTGGAGGTGCTGATGGACCGAGGCTGTGGTGGGTGTCTGTACTATATTTTGCTTCTTGAGTGTGTAACTACAGGAGAGGAGAAGGGAACACAGTTACCATCAGCCTGGCTCCCTAGGGGTGTTGACGTCTCGAAAGCATCCAGGAGAAGACAGTGATCTTGTACACATCAGCTCAGCTTAGCTTACAGCCCGCCAGCACAGTCCCGGTCAAATGCGGGGACCACCCTGCAGCAGCCTCTTCAATCCCGAAGCAGCTGGTGTTCTGAACATGGTGTTTATCATTCCAGAGTGTGTTCTTACCTGCTTAGCGCAGTACAGGGTATTCTGAGGGGTTTTACAACTGGTAAGTATGCCCGCCTTTTAAAATTCAGCACAATGCCTCGGAGATGTATGCATCCTGATCTGGGTGGCTTTGCACTACAAACAAACAAAACTGCTATTGGTAGGGCTTTTCTACTAACCAGTTATTTCAGAAATTTAAGTTTGGGAGAGAATATCACAGATAGGTCAAAAGTCATCAAAGTTTAAAGCTATCTTTTAAAAAAATAGTTTAATATGTGCTATCTTTAAACATAAAATCGAAGTCCAAACTGAACCTGAAGTTGAATACTTGCTGACCTGCTAAATGATAGGCGTGTTTTGTGGGTGATTACGACTTGGATTTCTGTGTTAAAAGTATGAGTGGGTAACACTGAATGGACAGAGCACTGTCCTGTGCAGGGAGCCCCCCATGACAGATTGAATATTTAAATGAGCTGTGCTCAGGTGTGGCTGGAAGTTCTACAGAAGAGTTGGCTTTAATGCTCTTGGTAGAGGAGCTGATGGGCGTTGCCACTTAATCGCAGAAGTTCATATTGAGAGCAGAACAGCTATTTGGGGGTCCCGTGTAGCCGTATGTCTTATTTACAACTTTGGGTGTTTCTTCTTCTCCACATGTTTTATCTGTAGGTAAATAAAGTTAAGCAAGAAAAGGCCGCCTTAAATTCAGAAGTTCTTGAGCAGAGGAAAGTCCTAGAAAAATGCAACAGAGGTATGTCTTCTCGGTCTTCATTTTTTTTTTTCAATATATTTTGCTTACGTACATCTGGTGCTTCCTTACACCTGTGCCTAGAGTGGTTTTTCTTAGGTTGTGTTTTGCTTTTGAAACTTCAAACCTATGCACTGCTATCCTGTGTGTATTGTGGGACCATAACCCTTTTTGCTTACCCCCTTAGCCTTGACAGGATTTATAGCTACTCAGTAAATCTGACTCTAGGGGAGATTCAGAAAGCTGACACATGAAAGCATTTTAAATTAGTGGATATAAAAAACAGGCCAGTGGGAAAATTAGCATCAATATTAATATACCAGTAAGGTGTGGTGGCATGCACCCTAAATCCCAGCACTGTGGAGGCAGAGGCAAGTGGATCTCTGTGATTTTGAGGACAGGCTAGTCTACAGAGTGAGTTCCAGGCCAGACAGGGGTGCATATTGAGACTTTTTAAAATAGATTGGCATGCTAAGTGTCTCCTTTCTCTGGGGTCTCACATAATCCCTCTTTGTTTCTAAAATATGACTCCAAACTTCTAGTGGCCAGCACAGCAAGGAATTCATAACCATTTAGATGAGTTCCATAAACACAAATGACCCGGCTACTTCTAAAGAAAATGCCATGCTATTTGGTCAGCATCTCATTCTTCTTGTCAAACATGGCATGAGCCTCGTGGGTACCGCTTCTTACCTTACAGTTTAGTGCAGGCAATGTGGAAGCCATTCTGGTCGGGAGGACTGTGAGGGCTGAATCAGTCCATTTCTGTTGCTATCATGTATTGCACAATGCAGGAAACTTGAAAATGAATATAGGCTCCCAGCTTCAGCTCTTACCCAGGAATATGACCTCACCATCTGCTTGGCTCTGGGAAGGCCCCCTTGATGGGGTCACACTGCAGTGATGGCGTCACCATCACGGCGGGAGTGTGAGATGTGAGGGAGTGATCAGTTGGCAAGAGAGGAACCGTACTGGTCTGTACTTTTCATTGGTACCCAGTCTAGTGAGAACCTACTTCTCACGGGACAAGGCAGCCCCTGCATAACCTTACCTGGCAGTAAGCCCTCCCTTAAGATCCCCCCACCTCTTCACCCTAACATGCTGGGGACCAGGCTTGCACTTGTGCATCTCCAGCAGAAATACCACATCCAAACAACAACAGAGGACTGATATGTTCTGGCCTGTCCCCAAGACACTCGGTTTCCTACTTCCGAAGACAGGACACGGACAGGACTTTCTACACTGTCCCTGCTGCTGGCTCTCATCCTTTGTGTTGCTTATCAGCTAGAGTTTCTGAAGAAAAGGCCTGGCAGCTAAGCATGGGAGACGGATAAGATGGTCCTACTTCAGCGTGTACAACTCGCATTCTCCATGTGCTGGGCAGAAACAGGAATTCACCACGTGGCTCTTGCCTTCAGGAAGCCCCCTGTCTAGAAGGAAACGAGGATACGTGAACATGCCACCGGGATCCGACTAGCTCCTTTCAGAATCCAAGTCAAAGGGACCTAGACACGGGAAAATTAACTTTCTATTATAACGTTCTGGACAGAAGAAGAGAGGCGATCGTCCTGCCCAGGGCTTCAGATACTCGTAGTCTTCATTGTTCTCTTTGTGAAATTTCTCTTTTTAAAATAGGTTTGGAAGTCATTTAGTCCTTAGGGACCTATAATTCCCGGCACAAACCGCCACTTACATTACTTTCCTTGAGTTAGCCTATTCTGCTTCTGTCTGAGGAGGCAGTAGTTTACGCAGAACAGAGTTTGAAATTCTATGTCATTACACAGCAAACCCATCCTTAGTCAGTTAGGATTGAAGTGCCCAGTGGAACAGAGTGTGAAAGCAGCCATTAAGAGTGTCTTGGCGGGAGTTTATTGATATGACTCAGCTCAGAGCGAGGCTCCTCGGCGGCGGTCTGCCTGCATTGTGCCGAGTTCCTAATTGCGTCAGGGTCCCAGCACCTGCCCACGTCGTTATTTAACAAAGTAGGCCACATAATGTCGAGAGCAGCAAAGATTTCGTGCTGCGTGTATTTGACAGGACCTTTTCTACAGTAACTCTTTTGTATGTGTGTGCACTGACTAGCGTCTCACACGTCTGTTGACCCGTCATGTGTGCCCTGCGAAATGCCTGTGATGGGCTTCTTGTCTTTGGTCTTTAAAAGGCAGAAATGAGGGGGCTGAGAGATGACTCAGTGGCCAAGAGCACTTTTGTCTTCTTGCAGAGGGCCAGGTTTCAGTCCCCAGCACCCCCATGGTGACTCACAATCACCAGTTACTCCAGTTCCAGGGGACCTGATACCTTCTGACCTCAGTGGTAACAAGCAGGCAACACATTTACATGCATAAGATAAAATTTAAATAACCAGAAATGTAACCATTTTGCACCAACTTTCACAGTTGGATTATTTGAAAATATACATCTTTCCTGAGATTTGCTTTCACTGTACGATTTTGATGATGGAGTAACATTGCTTGTGCTGTATTTTACCAATCCTTTGCTATTTCCACAGTAGTTCCAAGAACATGCTTGCAACCACAGGTTTGTCCTCCTGACTTGCTCTTTTAGGATGCACTTTAGTTGCTGAGTCTAGGGGTCTGAATGGTTTTTCCAGTAGATTTTCCAGTCCCATTTCTAAACCCCCCATAAGACTCCTCCCTGCACCAGCCAGGGATAGATGAGGTCATCCATGTGTCTTGTGAAGAATCTTTTCCTCACACACCACTGGTCATTTGCACAGCCTGTTGTCTCTGCTCTTCTTGTCTGCTTAAGTGTCCATGCTGGCCGTCGAAGAGTATGAGGAGCTGCAGGTGAACCTGGAGTTGGAGAAAGACCTTCGCAAGAAAGCGGAATCGTTTGCACAAGAGGTAAGTGTGCTGTGGAAACCGGGCAACTTACAGAATGCCCACAGGCAATCAGGTGTGCTGCAGAAACCGGGCGACTTTACAGAATGCCTATGGGCAACAGAGTTGAGCCAGTCAGATAAGGAGGTGATAAGTCCCAGTGTTCATAGCACAGATGACTCCTTTACATGGTTATTGTATAATTTGTTGGGACCTAGAAAAGAGCCATTTGACACTTTGCACCACAGATGACGAATGTTTAAGGAGGTGGAGCTGTGTTGACTTAGATCTAAGTATTATAGCTTATATACATACATCGGATTTCCCTGGGGTACCCCATGAATATGTGCAATCATCATGAGTCAACTGAAAGTTTTAGAAAACGTTTGACTAGAACTTAGCGACTGTAATTGAGTAGGTGGAAGCTGCATCGTGGCATTAGGTGTTCAACGCGGGTTGAGAGTCTGCCATGTCTGTCACTGCACGTAACCTCAGCTGTCCTCACCCTCTCAGGCTGCGCTTCCACCGTCTGTAGAATAGATGTCCGTGTAAAGGAACACAGGAGATTTTAGAATGCCATGAGAAGTGTTTGCGCATGCATGCGCACAGAGCGTAGGGATCAATATCAGGGATCTTCCTCAGTCCATGTCCACCTTGGTTCTCGAGACAGGACCTCCGACTGGTTTGGAGCGTGCTCGTGTGGTAGACCAGCTGGCCAACGAGTCCCAGGAACCCACTTGTCACTGCTCATCCAGCGCTGGGATTTGAGCATGTGCCTTTGCTCAGCAAACTCAATTCTTCATACTTGCTCAGCAAACACTTTACAAACTGAGATATTCCCCACCCCACCAAAACAGAATAATTTTTAAAAGCACCACAGACAGAGCGCCGTGCAGTGAAAGAATTTCCACGGAGAGACCTGTAACGTGGTGACAGGCAGCGTGCGCAGAATGTCTACACAGCTCAGATAGCCTTGAGAATCCGGCTGTGTCTCAGTGTCGGCTCGGGCGACAGTGTCACGGTATCTGCCTTTCTCTCCTGGCCATCGCCGGGTGCTCTCATTATGTGAGCAGACTCTCCGCTAATGGAACGTGGCCATGTTGTACACCTATTATCTCAGCCACTGGCCAGTGCAATGATTTCCCGCTCGGGTTAGAGATGAGCGCTGAGTTCTCTGGTTCCACCTGACATTGCTGACTGGCCAGCTTCGGGTATTCCGTGGCTCTGGAGCTGGTTTCCAGGGCAATGACCTGCCACCAGGTAGCTGAACTCAAAGATTGACCTTCCATCAGCAAGATCTCTGTTTCTATTGGAATTTTGGGCCTCAGGGTAAAGAACCGTGTGTTGAGGGAGGCAGTTAAGGAGCTGAAAGTCATCCCAGGAAGAGGTAACCTAGATGGAGAAAGAAGACAGGATGTTGGGAGAAGGACATTTGAAAGTCAGATTTTGTTTCTGTGTAGGATTTTTTTTTTTTTTTTTTTGCTTTGTTTTGCTTTGTTCAGGTTTTTGTTCCTAAACATAGCTGGGCTAACACTGACCTCCATAGAACGTTTAATCTAGGTTCATCTGACTTGAAATACTGTGACTCATTTTATTCAGAGTTTGAAAGCTAGATGAATATTGTTCTCTGTTGACCTGTAAGAAAGAAAAAAGAATTGAAGTGTGTCAGAGCCCTCTGGAACAAAAGCCGCGTGGCTATAAATGAAGCAGGTAAACCGACAGTTGGGGAGGGCAGGTAGGGACAATTGGAGAGCTGGGCTGTGAAGCTGAAAAGGCTCACTGAGTATGACCCGAACGGCAGGGTCTAACTAAGACATTTTCAGTTTTCTACTTGTTTTTTGTACGATAATGTTACAGTGCAAAACAGCTCAAAGAAAATCTTAGAGGCTTCATGGTAGCAGAAAAGACAGGAGAAGGGAGATTCTGGTAGGAAAGCCTGCAAGCGAATGATTCCCACAGGTTCTGGTGGACCTGGAGCCCAAACAGTATGGGGCAGTACAGGCTCGGTGCTGAGCTAACACGGGGAGGGGAGCGGGCCTGGGAGGCTTCTGTGACCGGCAACTTGAATAGGTGTAGCAGCGCCTGGTGTCTAGATTTAAATTCCATCGGGGCAAGAAGGGACTCTCAGGCTTTGGACACATGGCCACTGCCAACGGCGTGAGGCTTGTTTCACAGGAGGGCCCCACTGGGCATGTTCTAGGGGTTGCGCCCAGCACCACGTTGGTACTGTATAACAACTGCATGTTGGAGAAGAAACTGAGGAGTGTATTGTCCACGGTCTTAAAAGTAAACATCCAAGTTTATTTGCTTATGTATTTAATTGCAAAAACAATTTGTGTGCTTTAAAAAAAATTGCAGCCACTTCTGAAATACATAAATCAGAAACTGAGAATTTCAATCCTCTTACTCGTACTAGTTTATTTAAAACAAAACAAAGCCTCTTCTGTTCCTTAACAAGAGGAGTCAGTTTTCTCTAGAACTGTTTTTAAAATTTTCATCTTCATATTAAATTTTAAAAAATTTACTTGTTTATGATATGTGTATGTGATTTTCTTTTTTGGTCTCTCTCTCTCTCTCTCTCTCTCTCTCTCTCTCTCTCTCTCTCTCTCTGTGTGTGTGTGTGTGTGTGTGTGTGTGTGTGTGTGTGTGTGTATTTTCTCCCCTTCTACCTTCATGGGTTCCAGGGATTGAACCCAGGTCTTCCAGCTTATGTAGCAAGTGCTTTTGCCCACTGAACCATCTTGCCAACCATGTTTTAAACTTTTCATGTGATTTTCTTATATTTTTCAATGTGTTTTTCTTGCTATTTGATTTCCTTCCTGGATAATTTGAACAATATTGGAATATTGCTTTGAATTCTGTATTAGCATAACATTTTTATTCTCACTCTTAAGAGACACATGAAATTTCTTAGAAATTCCAATACCTGTGGTGTTTTTCCCCTCGAAAGAGACCAGTCTTCTGACGCTGAGACATTCTTGCCACAGCAAACCCAGAACTCATTAGCATTTCGTGACTAAACATTCTAGAAGAGGGCACACTTGGGGAGTTTTGGATTTTGCACTTTGAAGCTTGGGGAAGGTGGTATGATTACACCTTCCACCGTGCGTCTTTTGGTTCTTCTTGTGGACAGTCCCACACAGCCCAGTCTGTCTCAGACTTCACGGGTAGCCAAGGATAACCTTGAATCCCTGCCCCTCCTGTCTCTGCCTCCTTGAGTGCTGGGATTAAAGGCTTGCAATGGCACGGGGGTTTTGTGATGCTGGAGGTTGAGTCCGGGTGGGATGTTACTGTTCGGGGAATGTCACAGGGTCTCTGAGAAAGGGATTCACACTGTGAAGATATTTCAGATGTAGTATTTTGGCTTGTTCGTCGTCAAAGTGCCACAGTCGAGCTACTTTGTATGCATGTAGTGTTCCAGAATGTTCCTCGTTCCCAAGAGAAACAAATCCCAGAGAATCACAGAGAATGCATGCGCTTCTGTGATCATGGGGTAGTTGGTGACAGGGAGTGGGGGTCCTTGCTTGGTTTCCCTGCTCGGTGGATGGAATAGCATCTCTGTGTTCATGGGGGGAGCTGGTGAGAGGAAGTGGGGTCCTTGCTTGATTTCTCTGCTCTGAGGAGGGAATAGCATCTCTGTGTTCATGGGGGGAGCTGGTGAGAGGGAGTGGGGGTCCTTACTTGGTTTCCCTGCTTGGTGGCTATAGCTGTACTATAAACGGCTCTTTACCAGGAACTCGTGCAGTGAAAAGGAACCTGCAGCTTTGCCTCAGCTGGGGTTAGCTGCCCTTCGTGGTGACTCTCAGGTGCTAAGATGCTGATGAGGGAGTCTGGCTAATTAAGTATTAATAATGGAAAAACCTGTCAGAATCATTGCAGTAATAATGATAAAACCAAAATGATTCATTGCAGTTAGACACTGCTCAAAAATTCAAGTCACTGTGCTGAGTCATTGATTCCCCCCTGTTGGGTGGAGTCTAAGTCTCCTGGGTACAATGCCTTGGCTTATGTCTTGGCTGTCTCTGTGCCTTTAATGCTTACACGGAGGAAGTGACACCGGAGGAGTATGGATTCCACATACTCTGCAAGATTGTGTTTCACTTCAACTTTTCAGAGGACTTGACTTCTGTTCCCAGCAACCACATCCCGTGGCTCACAACCTCCAGTGACTTTAGCTCCAGGAAAATCTGTGACACTTTTCTGGCCTGTGCAGGTACCCCCATATACATACACATGCACACATAGAGAGAGACACACTTGTACATATAAATAATAAGAATAAATCTTTAATCTGGCCTGTGCAGGTACCCCCATATACACACACATGCACACATAGAGAGAGACACACTTGTACATATAAATAATAAGAATAAATCTTTAATCTGGCCTGTGCAGGTACCCCCATATACACACACATGCACACATAGAGAGAGACACACTTGTACATATAAATAATAAGAATAAATCTTTAATCTGGCCTGTGCAGGTACCCCCATATACACACACATGCACACATAGAGAAAGACACGCTTGTACACAAAATTAATAAGGACAAATCTTTAAAAAATAGTGTGCTTTACCTGTTTGAACTGGTGGTGTGTCTTAATTTTGCACAACATTGTAGTAGTTTGATAGATTCCTCACAAATCCTGCACAGGAAAGCTCAGTGTGTGGGGGTGGAAATCACATTTGTGTGCCGTGCGTCTTTGTTTGGAGGCCAGAGGTCAGCACTGGGTGTCTTTCTCTCTCGCTCTCCCCTCTGGTTTTTGAGACAGACCTGGAACTCACTGATTGGCTAGACTGACTCGCCTGCCCACCACCAAGCTCCAGAAGTTCCCCATCTTCCCCTCCAGAGCCACCATTACAGATGTGTGAGGCCATGCCCAGTTTTTCCACGTATTCACGCTTACACAGCTGCCGCTTCCAAACGGAATCATCCCCCAGTTTCCTGCTAGCCACTTTTGTCTTCTTCTAGGAAAACATACTGGGAAGAAAACATGAATTTATTTGTATTGTACATTCACGGCAGGTTTGGCTGACAAGCGGTGTAAGTCATTGAAGCTCCAGTCCTTACATATGGAGGTTTACAGGAATCTTATCTTTGTCCTGAGTTACACTTCCTGACATTTTGTGTTCCATGGCAGATGAGGTTGCATGCACGGTCTGCAGTAAACCGTCGCAGTGTGCATGGCTTAGAGTTAAGCTACGGTGTCTATGTAAGACACCTTTAAGATCCTGACAATGTAAAACATCGCTGTTCGGAGACTTGCAGAGTTTGCTAAATAGCTCATGCCTCAGATTGCCCACTAGTCATCTTGGCATGATGAGGAGAAAATACATAACAGGCAATAGAAAATAATTCTGCTGTCAATTGTGTCCACATGGGAGAATTAGCAAGTTGCATTCATAAGCAACTCGATGAAGCGTTCAATACATGTTAGTACAGTCTCCCTCCAGAACTGTTTCTTACTCATGTCATTCTAATAAGGATCTGAGGAGGCAAATCAATGAGTTTAAGTTCTGGTCTCAATACCTATGTTAAAAAATATGTAGCTTATGCCCTGGCAATACTGAAGCATGCGTGGGTAGCCCATGTATGGCAGTTCTGTCGAAACTGTCCCTATTGGGGTTCATGGTCCAAGTTGATGAGAACGACTGACCACGTCTTCTCTTCAAGAGGGCACCCAGATCTCATTACAGATGGTTGTAAACCACCATATGGTTGCTAAGAATTGAACTCAGGACTTGGAAGAGCAGGCAGGGCTCTTAACGGCTAAGTCATGTCTCCAACCCTATGTACCCCTTGAGGAAATCACTTGTTCTCTCTGAGCCTCCGCTTCTTTATCCGGAAAATGTGATGGCCATAGTATCTATTTGGCAGTGTTGTTCTGAGTATTGAAAGATATCTGCATACAGAGAGGTATCTACCATATTGTATAGCGGTTCGTGAAGGTTACTTAGTCACAGTAGAAAGTTAGCTCGTAGGATACGTGGGTGTGCATCAGGATGAAAATAAAGCATAGCAGGTGCCTGGCACATGGCACGTTACTGACACAGACTTGCCACTATTCGTATCTGTGCGCTTCAAAGCAGTAAGAGAACATTTAAAATTGGGGTATAGAATCCGGCTAGTGTATCCGCTCCTTGTATAGAGTAGCGATTTAGGTATAGGCGTTGGTGGAATTGCATCATGGCCTTGGCTGCTCCAGGAGCTCCTATTCAGCCATTTCCTTCGGGGTCGTTAAGAACGCCACTCACTGCCATTCAGGCTGCACTAGGGGTCTGTGTGGGCTGGGTTGGTGCCGACATATCTGTGATTAACTTACAGATGTTCATTGAGCAAAACAAGCTGAAGAGGCAAAGCCAGCTTCTGCTGCAGAGCTCCCTTCCCGACCAGCAGCTGTTGAAAGCTTTAGACGAAAACTCAAAACTCATCCAGCAGCTTGAAGAAGAGAGGATCCAGCATCAGCAAAAGGTAACTGATTTTACTCTGGAGAGGGGGACGTACACTCGTGCAGACACACACATGTGCGCACACATGCACGTACACATAAACACACATACACACATGCTCACACAGACACATCACACACATATACATACACATAATCATACATTAAAACAGGTGCTTGTGAGGCTTTCTAGAATTCCATATTTTTCCTTCTTTACTAAATTCTAAATATCTTTGAGAAAACAATAGCTACCAAGTGAATTTAATGTACTGCCCAGCTAAAATTTATAGCTCACTGGCATGGGGTCTTTACAATGACCCTGAAGCCGGTCATTAATAATGAGTTTGGAGAAGCAAGGAAAAGGACAGGACTCAGTGTACTGAGCAGTTTGCAGTCTTGAAGTCTGTTTGGGAAGGTACAGTTTTCAGAGACGTAGGAGAGTGTATTGGTTTTGCAGAGGCCTTATTCTGAGAGGGAGGGGGGAGGAAAGCTTGCATTAGTAATTGTTTTCGCAGTTACGGATCCTGGCCATGCAGGTTTGTGTAGATATCTGTAGTGCGGACTCCGTAGTGCTTGTTCAGTTTGCAGGAGTAGCGCTCTTCAGGTCAACATGGCCCAGTCCCTCTGTGTCAGGCGGAGAGGCTTGCCATTGTGTTTGGGGAGAGAAGAAGGCAGAAGACAGACTTGCAGGAGCCACTTCAGAACAGCGATGTCAGTATTTGTGGGTCCTTATAGCAGACCTCCTTCGTGAGGAAAGGCTGTTAGCGGCAACCGGCTCTCACCTGTCAGTATCTCAGAGCATCAGCCTCTCCACTTCTGACGTTGTTTTACCTCTAGCAGTGAGGTCGAGCTGGCTTTCTGTGTTCTCCGTGGGAAGTGTTGGCAGATATTCACAAAGCTTCTGCTCCCCAAGGCCAGAGGTGGAGAATTTCTTTTTCTGCCCCCACATGCAAGAATTGCCTTCTCAGAAAGAATTTGTGCGTGTGTGGGGGTGGGTGGTGTCGTGTGTGTGTGGTGTCTGTCTGTGTGTGCGTGTGTGTTTACCTTGTGTTAAAATTTAACTTTTGGTCCTGAGAAGACAAACCGTAATTGTTGTTAACTTGGTTAGTAGGTAATGCATGCCTGGACCTCGCTGAACTGAATTGAAACAACTCTAGCATTGAGTTGTTTTCTGTGTTCCTGTCTGGCAAAGGAGCAGAGGTCGTTGTGGTTGAAATTGTAGCAATTACTAGTTCTACAGGCTTCCTCCTGTCCTAATCCTGGTACTTTCTACTCTGTGTGGTATAAATAGCTCCTACTTGAACACAAAGTCCCTCATAGATTCATTACTTTTGAAAACACAGATACTTTGCTTTGGCATTTTTAAAATAGTGTATGTTCCTTATTGTAAACACATTTTTTTTAATCTAAAAATGGTAAAAGAAAATTAAGATTACCTAAAAATCCAAAGTGTATACTTTTGGGCAACTTGAACCTTATATAAATCATGTTTTTATGATGTATATATGGTTTGTTTAAATGGAGTTATGTGATGCATGGCCTTCTTTAAACTTTTTCAGTTGGTAATATATCTTCTCACCTAAGTATGTATTGAACTATGTGGGGCTTTTGTGTTTATTTTTTTCTCCCTGAGACAATGTTTCTCTGTACAGCTCTGACTGTCCTAGAACTCACTCTATAGACCAGACTGGCCTCAAACTCACAGATCTGTGTACTATGGCCTCCTCTGTGCGGGGATTAAGGGAGTGTTTCCCCAATGCCAGCTGAACGATGGTTTTATATGGCTGCATCGTGTTTCCTTATCGTCTGTGAAATAATACTGCTGGTGGATTGTTTAGGTTATTCTTAGGTTTTCAAACACATTTTCAGGATGTGTTTTCATATTGGCCTAAGGCTCACTGCTTTTGGCTGGCTAGTGTTGAGTGCTATGGATCGAATCCAGGGCTCTGCATGTACTAAGCAAGCGTTTGAACACTGGGTCACAAATACATAAAAACCCTACTATTGGGACTGGAAGGATGCCTCCGCAGTTCACAACCACAGCAACTCCAGCTCCAGGGGATCTGCTGCCCCCTTCTAGCCTCTAAGGAAACTGCACACATGTGGTATGAACATATACATGCAGGCAAACACATAAAATATCATTTAAAAAATGCCATTACTGACAAAAAGGCCTCTCTCTTCCTCCCTGTCCCCTCCCCGTGGGTCCCAGTACTCTTTTAAAAATATTGTCAAATTTTTTTCTTGGAGAAGAATATAGAAATAATATGTCTGTTTTAAAATAAGTTTTAGATGTTATTTTACTCTTGTGACTTTTAGTCTATAACTGACTTCTCAGTAAAACTAATAGAAAGCAGAATAGCTAGCTGTTTAGCCAGTGCTGGTGTCGTCTACACCCAGAATCTGTGTGATTTACGGTGAGTAGGAATCTTTCTGCTATGAAATAGTCAAGTGAGAGTATTCGTCCTCTGCCCCTTTCCATCCACAAGGGGAAATGCCGGCCCTGTTCCAGCTGTGTCTAACTTACAGGTCAAAGAGTTGGAGGAGAAGCTGGAGAATGAGGCGCTGCACAAAGAGATCCACAACCTCAGACAACAGCTGGAGCTCCTGGAAGAGGACAAGAAGGAGCTGGAGCAGAAATACCAGAGCTCGGAGGAGAAAGCCAGGAATCTGAAGCATTCAGGTGGGTCATGCCCACAGCAGAGCCTGCCGCGCAGCTGGTTCTGAGTGCTATGGGGGAAGAAAGAACCAAACTTGTTTGTTGCTTGTTATTGTTTATTTATGTTATTGTGTGTGTGCACGCATGCATGTGTGTGTGTGTGTGTGTGTGTACACGTGCGCACATGCACGCTCGTGTGCCTATATGTGGACACTAGAGCTCAGCTTCAGGAGCTGCCCACCCTGTTTTCCTTTTTAAACATTTATCTTTATTTTATGTGTATGAGTGTTTTACTTGCATGCACATCTATACACCATGTGTGTCCCTGATGCCTGTGGAAGCCAGAAGAGGCGTCAGAATCCATGAACAGAAATTATGGATAGCTCTGAATCACCATGTGGATGCTGGGAACCGAGCCTAGGTCCTCCACAAGAGCAGCGAGTACTTTCAGCTGCTGAGCCATCTTGTTTGGTTTTGGTTTCATTTTTTGAGATAAGATACCTCTCAGTAGTGTCTGGAGCTCACCAGTAACGTGGCGTGCTGACCAGGGAGTCCCACAGCCCCCCCCCCCCACCTGTCTACATTTTCACAGCTCCAGGATTACAAGCTTATAGACCACACCCAGCTCTTTTCCTGGGTGCTGGGTACTTGACCGCAAGTCCTACTTGCTTACACAGTGAGTGTCATACTGACCAAGGGATCTCTGCAACCTACAGACTTGCTTTTTAAATGTCTTCATTTCCAGCCATCACAGTTAAGCAGAGCAGGGTCATCAAACCAAGTCACAAAAAAAGCACAAGTACATAGAGCCTGTGTCAGCTTCCTGCACAGAACCAAGGCCTAGCGGATTAGCATGGAAGACCCAAACTGCCAGCATCTCTGGGCCTTTCAAAGGATTGCTCATTGAACACTTACTTAGTCTGTTCATTTTAGAGTGCTTTTTCAAAAAAGAATTGAAGTCTCCTTTCTTTCCTTTTTTTCTTTAAATAATACCCTCATCTCTGGTATTTGTGTCTCCTTCATCTTTGGGGTTTAATTATACGTATGAAATATTACTTTCTATGCCACGCCTAACAATGAAATAGGCAACAATATGTATATTAAATGGGAAAACTTTTAAAAAAAAAACACCAGGGATTCTGAAATCAAAGGATTTATTCATTCAGTGCTGGAAGGCTCATGAAAATGTAGGAGCTGGATTACGACACAGCTATAAGTCTCTGAGAAGGTAGGTAATTTACGGCAGGTACATTTCTCTTTATCACAGCCTCAATGCTCCCTTCAGATATTTTCCATTAGTTTTATAATAGAAATTTGAAATCTATGCAGAAGAACCATGTAGGCTTTTTTTTCCTTTCTGAACGATTCAGTACTTTTTAAAAATTCACAATGAAAAATGATCACGATTTACTTAAAAAAAACCAATCCAAAATTAAGAAAATGTCAACTTTTTTTAGTAACTGTCTGAATAGCCTATAGGCAAAGCCATCTTTATAGTACATGGAAGGAGCGGGCATTGCAGATGTCTGAAATCCTAGCTTGACCTGATTTGTTTAGGATCTGTGATGTCAGAAGCCAGTTCTGTCATGGCCCAATGAGAAATGCAGGAGAAGGGCTGGAGGGATGGTTCTGGCATTCAGAGCACTGCCTGCTCTTGTAGAGGGTGAGGGTTTGACTCCCAGCATCTACACATTCCCTCCCCAGAGGACCCCACACCCTTCTTTGACCTCTGCAGGCACTGTATACATGTGAACGCGCATTTATGCAAGCAAAAACACTCCTATAATCAAATCAAATAAATCTGAACAGTCCAGAAGGAAAGAGTCCATGCATATGTTCTGTGTATGGTGGTGAATGAGCGTTATCCCAGCTCTCAGGAGGCTTAGGGTTAGGCTAGGGTCAGGGTTCTCTGAAGGAACAGGGCTGATAGGAAAGACATGTATAAGGGATTTATTAATCTGGATTACAGGCTGTGGCCCAGATAATCTATATAATATATAATAATGGCTATTTCTCTACAGAAAGGTCAAGAATCTTAGTTGTTTAGTCCATGAGCCTGGAGGTCTCAGCGGTCCCAGTCTGATGCTGGGGTCCAGGAGGATTCCACAGAGCTTCTGGTCTTTAGACTATGTTAGAAACTTGAAGAAATGGGTTCTAACTCTAGGAAAGAGGAGTGTTTTAGCATCACGAGAGATGAACTTGTCAGGGCAAAGAGCAAAAAACCAAGCTTCCTTCTTCCATGTGCTTTTTCTTGGCCTGCCACCAGAAGGCGTGGTCCTCGTGAGAGTGGATCTCCCATAACAAATAGTTGACCTACACACATTCTCTCTCTCTCTCTCTCTCTCTCTCTCTCCCTCTCTCTCCCTCACTCTCCCTCTCTCTCCCTCTCCCTCTCTCTCTCTCCCTCTCTCTCTCTCCCTCTCCCTCTCTCCCTCTCCCTCTCTCTCTCTCCCTCTGTCTCCCTCTCCATCTCTTTCCCTTCCTTCCCCCTCCCCCCCTCCATCTCTCCATCTCTCCATCTCTCCATCTCTCCATCTGTCTCAGAAGACCCCCAGATCCCTTTGGAAAGTAACAGAAGCACATGTGTGTTGGGGCAAGTGTTTTCCTAGCCCACGCTGCCTATTTCAGGACTGAGGGGTCAAGCATGACCTGAACACATACAGTATGTGTGCCCATTACCTTTTAGGCCATAGTATGTATTTCTTCTCTTTCGTGGTGTGGGGAATTAAGCCCCGGGTTGTGTGCTTGCTAGGCAGGAGCTCTAGAACAGAGCTGCACCCCTGGCACTCTGATAGAAATTAAACTGAGCCCCCGAGAGTCAAGAGCTGCTGTCCCCGGCTCTGTACACTGCTCCGTTCCCATTGGTGGTGTCTAATAAATGCCTGTCTTGGGGTGACTGAATGAATGAATGACATTTCTTCAGAAGAGCAAAAAGTTTGTTACATTACAGGCCGTTAGGAATGTGGACCTAGCTAAAACTCCAGTACTTGCTGGTTTTGAAGGAAACTAAGCGTAGGAGAGAGGAATGCCATTATTAAAATGTGTTGCAAATGTCATCTTTAAAAGGAGCCCTCAGTCCACACGCTTTCAAAGTCTAGCATGAAGAATTCCTTGGTCTTTGAGGAGTGAAGTCCGTTGTCAGAAATATTCCTTCAGCCTGCTCAATTCTTTCTCCCCACGCATTAGCCACGTTCTTTTGTCTACACGGGAAAATAAGGCAGTGAACTTCAACAGACGAAAGGCCAGCTATGTTGTCATTGATGTTCTAAATGACAGGAAGTCTAACTGTGCCCCATCATCATCTGAGAGAGGCAGTGTTTTTCTGTCGTGTGAGCAGTGTGCAGTGGTTCATCTCAGGTCTCTCTGAACCCTTGCTTCCTGTACAGTGGATGAACTCCAGAAACGAGTGAACCAGTCGGAGAATTCGGTGCCTCCCCCACCTCCTCCTCCTCCGCCTCTCCCCCCTCCACCGCCCAATCCAATCAGGTGAGTATCATGGAGGAACCTCCTGCTGCCTCAACGTCCTTGTCCTTGGCCCTGCAAGTCATACTGGTCTTTTTTTATTTTCTTTTCTTTTTTCCTTTATTTTCTGAGACAGAGTCTCACGTACCCCAAGCTAGCCTTGAGCTCACTCTGTAGCTGAGGATGACCCTGAATCTTGTCCTCTGACATCCACCTCCCTAGTGATGGGATCATAGACACTCCATCAGGCCCAGCTTCTGCAGTGCAGGGAGTCAAACTCTGGCTTTACGCATACATGCTGGGAACTGTTCCACCAACTGAGATACATCCTCAGAGGGACAGTAAAGAGCACCAAAGACCATTTCCTAGAGACCATTGTTTTTCCTGATTCTTGTATATCCTTGGTTTTAAGTCATCTTTCAAGGAAATTCTCACAGCCAATGTGTCCTTGGAGAACCTGGATTCCTTGGCAATGTTCCAAACTCAAAGAACTAGACATTTATCTTTTTTCTTAGATACTTCTCATTTTAAAATGCCTTGCCTAACACTAGGATTTCCTTCACTTATGAGACCAAGGAAATTTGAGAGTCTCCAAAGTGTCTTACTCTTTTTCCCCCACTAATTTGAATTTGGAGATTCTAGCTTATTTATTTCTTAAAAGTTCTAAATTAAAACTTAAACCTACTAATTGTTATAAACTAGTAATCAATCTAAAAGTACTAAATATCTTTTATCCTAATGCTTATAGTTAAGTCTTTTGTAATTCTGAGAGTAGAACCTTCCAGAAGAAAAGTTACTGTTTAAAGTCTTGGGGAAGGAATCCTATATGCAAGCAGAAATCCTCTTTTTCTTAGGCCTGGCTTGCTCGTCATCTTTGCTTCTCTCTGATGTACATTCTAGAGAGACTTGGCCTCTGTGAGTCTATCCACCACCATCCAGAATTAGATAAGTCAGGCTACTTATTTTGGTGGCTGCCTACCTCCTCGTGATGTTCGTTAGCTGCCTTTGAATAATTTATTCTTGAACAAATGGCATTTAAACCTTTGCTGGATGTTTTAGCTTTCATTAACTCATGCGATTTGTTTAATCCTTTCACACAGAGAAGCTCTTTATTCCCTCCTTGCACCTTAGCTGATCCAGCTGAATAGACTGTGTAGCATGTTCCTCCCACACGACTATGGAAATGGGACTTGGCTTTTGAAAAAGCGTCTCATTACTTTGCCTTGCCGAGCTGGGTATGACATAATCTACTTTAAGCTATTGAAGTAGCTGAGGTTAAATAATCTTTACAGGTGATCCAGTCCAAGAGTCAATTGAAAGAATTTCAGGTATTTTAAATTCGCTCTCTCCTGGGTAGCTAAGTCTGGAGGAGATATTCCAAAGGTGACATTTAAAATGGGAAATGCGTCGCTTTGATCTTTTCTCTCAAGTCTAGAATTCTGAGCTGATAAGAAAGGTCACTCCTATGAGAAGGGAGAACTATTAAAAAGCAATTACAGTCTTGCTGTCGGCCTTTGATTTTTAGCCTTAGAAATGCTGAGAGCCCCTAGAATTTAAAGTATAATCTAAATAGAATTTCCTCCAAAGAACTCTTTGCAGTTATACTGAGAAATGAATATAAGAATCAATATGCCTCAACTACTGACTCTTTATAAGACTCTTAAAAGAAAATTTTCACTGAATAATACAAATAACTTTTAAGATAGATTTAAATAGTATGGGATATAACTTTTCAGAAAAAAATAATTGGTGAAAAATGCTTTCTTGTCAAAGATATATTTGCATATGTATTGAGCTTTCATGGGTACTAAACCCACTGATGGTTCCAACTTTGTTCTCAAGCCATTGTTTTTATACTAATATAGATCATGGATAGAAAAGAACATGGTATGGATAGGGAAGGTCTCAGCACAATGCCTTTCTCGGTGGCTTTATGGCTTCTCTTCAGCTCCTCCCATTCCTTTGACCTAGAGGACAGAGAAGCAATAGAGGAAGGAAGGATGGCTGGGTTACGTTGTAATGAAGAGAGGAAGTAGGGTAGGTCTTGGACAAGCAAGTCTCATGGGGAAAGGAATGAGTCCTCCAGCATGGCAGAGCCCATGGGATGTGTATGTAGACAGAGATGCAAATAAGCATTGCCGTGCATGCTTAGGCATGGGGATTCTTCTAGTAAGTGGGCTATTTCATTATGCAAACACCATAGTGCTGACTTACACAATCAAAGATGCTGCCACGACTTAATGCAATCGAAGATGGCTGTCAACCTAATAGGCAATATACTCTTCCAAGACCTTTTGTAGCATGATTAGTAAAATCTCAGAGACAGATATTGGGGTTCATCCTGAAGGTCAGAAAAGCAAAGCAGCCAAACACTGGCTCTTACCTCTACCTTAGTCCAAAATAATGATCCTTCCTCCAGGAATCTCAGAATGAGACTGTGTCTGAGAACTGTCTCCTCTCATTTTATAATCCTCTCTAGTTCTGGGATTAAGGGCGTGCACTGCCCAATTTCTTTGGCAAACTAGTGTGGCTGCTGGTATTAAAGGTGTGTGTCATCACTGTCTCGAGTATAAGTGATATGGGATTCCCCTCTGTATGCTGAGAATATCATTGGTTAATAAAGGAGCTGCTTTGGGGCTATAGCAGAGCTACAGGGGAACAGAGCTAGGTGGGGAAAACTAAACTGAATGCTGGGAGAAAGAAGGGCGGAGTTAGAAGCCATATAGCCCCTCCAGAGACAGATGCCAGAACTTTATCCAGTAAGCCACAGCCTCATGGTAATACACAGATTACAAGAAATGGGTTAAATTAAAATATAAAAATTAGCCAATAAGAAGCTAGCACTAATAAGCCAAGCAGTGATTTAATTAATACAGCTTCTATGTGATTATTTTGGGGCTAAATGGCTGGGAACCAACAAGCGGCCTCCTGCAACATGTAAGGCTGGCCAGTGTGGCTGTTTTACTTTGCTGATCTTCAGGCAAACTTTACTTATTAAAATACAAATGAAATGCAACTACAGCCACTGTCATATATGTGATCTGCGTTGACCGAATGGACTCTGTAGATTCATTCTAGGGAACTGACTTGTGTGATGATAGAGTCCCAAGATCTGGAGGGCAAGTGGGCAAGCTGAGTACCCCGGATACCTGCTGGGTGTCATTCAAGGTTGAGTCCAAGACTAAGCACCTGTGGGAATGCTATTCCAAGGGCTGGCAGCCTTGAGACCCAGGAAGTCAAGGTGTTCTACTTAAAAGACAGAAGAGACTCTTTCTAATTGGTGGCACGAGCTGCCAATCTTTGTTGAAGGCAGGAGGCTTTCCGTGATTGGATGAGGTCAACGTCTGGGAGGTAAACATGCCTCTCAGCCTACCAAGCTAATTAGTGGTGAAAGTTTGAAAGTGTGGTCCCGTATGTCATGGTTGAGCCATCTCACCTGTTGAGTGGCTCCCATTTTCTGTATTTCTCTGTAGAATGTGTAGTTGGACTTCTTTGGTCCCATCAATTCCTCAATAATGACACTGGGACCTTTTATTTATTATGAAAGCTCAGCCAATAACTTAGGCTAGTTCCTAATTAGTTCTTATAACTTAAATGAACCCATTTCTATTACTCTAAATGCTGCCACGTGGCTCGTGGCAGTTACCTCTCCTCCTGCAGGTCTTGCTTGCTCTCCGTCTCTTGGTGTCTCTTCCCAGTGTCCTCCGTGCCCCGAAAATCCTGCCTGACTATTCGCCGTTCAGCTTTTAATTAAATCAATCCGAGTGACACATCTTCACAGTGTACAAAAAAAAAAAAAATTATTCCACAACATTTAAGTTCTATCTTGATAGTTTGTCCTCTGTCAATGAAATGGATTGTCCTTGAAAACGGCGTCTCCAGCTCAGGCTTCAACTGTGAGCTGACATTTTTCTCATCCACTTAGGTGATGAACAATAAAGAATGTGTGTTCTTATTTCATAAGTGCAAATATATAAGTAGTCTGTGCAGTATAAATCTCTGTTTTGTCACTTTTCTGTACAATAATACTCAGTGTACCCAGATAGGACGTCCTTAGAGTGTGGTATCAAATGAGAAGAGGCCTGTGCACCCAGATAGGACGTCCTTAGAGTTTGGTATCAAATGAGGAGAGGCCTCTGACTGTACCCAGATAGGACGTCCTTGGAGTGTGGTATCAAATGAGAAGAGGCCTCTGACAGCTGAGGACCCCACACACACCCTGCCATGCACTGGCAAGTGGACTTTGAATCCTCTTGAGTTCATTTGTATCATGAAAAAAATAAAAACCAAGCTTACAGCATTTTTTTTCTTATAATACTGGAGATAAAAATGTGATTTAAAAAATTAAAGTGTACAAATTAGAAAGTCTGACTTTAAAAATAATTAAGAAAATCAAGCACCTCTTTGTTTGTGGGTTGGAAACTGGAGCATCATCTTTTATGATTTTTCAACATTTTTTAACCTATTTTTATTGGGCTGTATTCTGTGATTTCATTCATAGAATTAATTTAATCTATTTGCTAGGGTTTTTTTTTACTCTCCATAATGCATCTTAATGGCTCATAGTTTTGTTAAATTTTAATCTGGTCCAGTTGGTCATTATTTAGATTTTTATGAACTCTTAAAAACCCAGGCTGGAGAGACAGTAGTGCAGACATGTTCTGTCCCCAGGGACATGGCCCACACTGTACACAGTCGGGTGGTCTGTTCTCCTGTTTCTGTCCCCGGGCACACGGCTCACATTGTACACAGTCAGATAGTCTATATTCCTGTTTTTTTAAGCAGATACTCCGCTGGAATTGAGCTATGTGTGAATACCTGCTGCGCCATATTCCCTATCTGTACTCCTATTTCATGTCAAACACCCCCTAACTCTTTCATCCTTCCTTGTATCTGGAATGCACTTCATAGGTAACCAGTACTTCTTGGATAACTCGTTCTGTATTTTATACACACGCATGAAAATTTTCCACATCTGTTTCTTTTTCTAAAGCTGTGTGTGTTAGTGGTGACCCTCAGTCCCACCTTCTCTTGGTAGATGGTTTTTGTTTGTTGTTGTTGTTGTTTTTCAAGACAGGGTTTCTCTATAGCTTTGGTGCCTGTCCAGAACTAGCTCTTGTAGACCAGGCTGGCCTCGAACTCCCAGAGATCTGCCTGCCTCTGCCTCCGGAGTGCTGGATTTAAAGGCGTGTGCCACCACCGCCCGGCGGTAGATGGTTTTATATAGGAAACTAAGACATTTTCCTTTTCTGTAAGCAGTTGAAAATGGTGATATTGAAAAGCAGAAAGCAGGCTGCTTAAATTCTAATCATGCAAGTGTAGGAGTTAGGTTATCCCTGACCATTTAGAAGAACTATCCATTTTTGCCTGGCTGCAGTTGTGTGCACCTTTAATCCCAGCACTCTGGAGGCAGAGGTAGGTGGATCTCTGAGTGAGTTCGAGGCCAGCCTGGTTCCAGGACAGCAAGGTCTATACAGAGAAACCCTGTCTCAAAAAGAAAAAGAAAAAAAAGGAAAGGAAAGGAAAGGAAAAGAAAGGAAAGGAAAGGAAAGGAAAGGAAAGGAAAGGAAAGGAAAGGAAAGGAAAGGAAAGGAAAGGAAAGGAAAGGAAAGGAAAGGAGGAGGGAAGGAAGGAAGGAAGGAAGGAAGGAAGGAAGGAAGGAAGGAAGGAAGGAAGGAAGGAAGGAAAGAAAGAAAGGAAGGAAGAGAGAGAGAGAAAGGAAATACTCATTATACTAGGTGGACCATAAGGCAGCCTCTAACTTTTTTGGAATCTTTTTCTTCTTCCCAAAGATCTCTCATGTCTATGATCCGGAAACGATCCCACCCCAGTGGCGGCAGTGCTAAGAAGGAAAAGGCCACTCAGCCAGAAACAGGTAAGCTTATTCTCTGTTCAGTTTTCTGGAAGTGAGTGATGTGGACAGCTTGTCGACAAACTCTGAAGAGCCTATTGGAAGAGAAGTGTGAAGAACTGCAAGAAACTCACTAACGGGCACTGCCTTCCTATAGCTCATTGTCTAGAGGAGATCAGTGTGCCCGTGTCCCTCACTACAAAGAGAGGGTTTAAAAAAAATTGCTTTTGTTTGGGAACAGGTCATTTGGGGCATGATGGAGGAAGAGTAACTCCAAAGGAGATTTGGAGAAAGACTCCTTATCAGTGGTGACAAAAGGAAGTCTTATCAAATACCTTATCAGCATATACTACTACATTGTCACGTGATGACCACACAAGACACTGAAGTCACATTCTGTGTACTTAGACATGGTATGAACAAGCGGCTCTCCATGTAAATGTGACATCATTTAGTACAGTCTTTGGGAAACACTGTGGGAAGAACACATTTCTAAGAAACTATGATGGCAGACTGCTGGCGTCAAAAGGCAATATTCAAGTTGATTTGGACCATAAGAGAGAGGGTGCTGAGGGTAAAAGTTGCCCAGATAGCACAGTGGTGGGTTCAAAGGTTGAAGCGGGGAAGGAGCTTTATATACCATAAATCCAAGCACTCTGCATCTTTGACTCAGGAGCCAGGGAACAGGTTTCCAAGGCAGTGCTAGAGATTCAGATGTTGGGCTGGAGAGATGGCTCAGAGGTTCTGAGTTCAATTCCCAGCAACCACATGGTGGCTCACAACCATCTGTAATGAGATCTGGTGCCCTCTTCTGGCCTGCAGGGATATGTGCAGGAAGAACCCTGTATACATAATTAATAAATAAATCTTAAAAAAAAAAAAGATTCAGATGCTTCCAGAGAACTTTGAAGTAGGGATGCCGTGAGATTTATCTTTGCTAACAGTCACTCTGGATGAAGTTTGGGAAGAGCAAAGATAAGAAAAGAGAAGGGTAGCCATGGCAGACAGGCAGAGGAATGCTGGTGCCTTAGACTAGGAGTCTCAGACAGGGTGAGAGCTGTCTAGACAGAAAACTGGATGCAGGAAGTAGGTGCCTAGTCATCCAGCTAGGAAGGTAGAGTGCACAGCATCTTGAGAGTCGCTGGAAACGCAAGTCTAGGACCATGTGAGGTAGGCTGGAAGGAGAAGGACCTAGGCATTGAGCAGAAATACTGACTCAGAGCCTATGCACCGAGCTCAGAAGACAGCGGGTGTGAGAGAAGAGCTATGAACTGGGCTACATCCTGACCCACTGTGCCCTCCTTACAATGTGGAGCGCAAACTAGAACCAAGACAGTTGCTCAGCACGTAAGTCTGCCCCACTCCCCGGAGCCCTGCCTTCTCCCTGGCAGACACTGGCTCCTTCTGGCCATATTCTGCTGCTCCTGTAGCCAGAGCCTCAGCAAGATACTGTTGGAATTCTACATCCTCCATGCTGTGTGCCCACAGCTCCTCCTCTGCCTCCACTTACTTATTGTCCTCGTTTGACTTCTGTTGGTGACATAAAAACATCGGCCAAACGCAGTACAGGGGAGGAACAGGTTTGTTTCTGTTTACAGGGTGTAGTCTGTCAGTCACTGAGGAGAGTCAGGGCAGAACGTGAGCAGGAGCTTTTCATAGAGGAAAGCTGCTTGCTGACTCAAAGGCTTATTCTTAAGTCATAGCCCCCCTGTACCCTATACCCTGACCCCTCCACCCTCATCTCTGTAGCTCTGGCTGGCCTGGGACTCACAGAGATCAACTTGCCTCTGACTCCCAAGCGCTGGGATTAAAGGTGTATGCCACAATTCTGGTTTAACTAGCTTTCTTATACAACCCAGGATTGTAATGACATTTCGTTTGCATTTTAATTATTAAAGATTACCTGACGTTCAGAGAGTAAAACAGCTACACTGATCAGTTTTACAAACCAGGCAGTAATGACACACACTTTTAATCCCAGTAGCCACACTAGTTGCCATAGAAACCGGAAGGTAATGGTGCACACCTTTAATCCCAGCACTAGAGAGGATTATAAAACAGGAGGAGACAGTTTTCACAGTCTCATTCTGAGGTTCCTGGAGGCAGGATTGCCATTTTGGACTGAGGTAGAGGTAAGAGCCAGTGGCTGACTGTTTTGACAGCTGAAGTGTTCTGACCTTCAGATTGAACCCCAATTTCTGTCTCTGGGTTTTTCTTAATCATGATACACAGGATCACCTGCCCAGGGAATGTTGCGACCCATAGTGTTCTGGGCCTTCCCACATCTATCAATAATCAAGACAATCTGCCTTAGGCTAAACTGATCTGGGTAATCAGTTGAGGCTCCCTTTCCAGACCACTCTGGGTTGTGTCGAGTTGACGGTAAAGCTGACTAGGATATCTGATTCACTTTAAATTCCATCGCTGTGCTGGGCTCTGGTGTTCAAGTCATTTCCACATAGTTCGGTCTGCTCTCTGAGCAAGAAGTGTGTGTGTGCGCGGGCGTGCGTGTGTGGTGTCTGCACATGCGTGGGTGCAGATGTGCAGGCTTGCATGTGTGCAGAGGCTAGAGGAGAACAACAGATATCCTGCTCCATCACCCTCCTCCGTACTTAGTTGAGAATTCTCTTATTAAACCAGGAACTAGTTTGGCATTCAGCAAGCTCCTTCAGTCCTCCTTTGTTTGACCACCACAGTGCTGGGATCATAGGCACTCGGAGCCAAACTCAGTTTTTTACATGGGTTCTAGGAATTTGAACTCAGGTCCTCATGCTTATATAGTAAGTGCTCTTACCTACTCAGCCACCTCTGCAACCCCATAATCCCTTTTGGGGAGAGGCAATACTGTAGTCAAGAAATTCCTTTAATTTTATAACCTAAGGTCAGCTCTAAACTCATTCAAACATAATGTGCCCTTTTGGTAGTTTTTAACATCACAATTTTTAACATCTTCTTTAAAAATATAGCAAAACAGGGAAGTAAAAATAAATTCCACTTCTTCTTGGTAATAAGCAGAGATTTGATTGGGTACTGAGGTGACAGTTTTGTCTATGGGTCTCTCTCTCTCTTCTAAGATCTAAGTTATTTTCCAAGTGGGTCTTAAAATTTAAGCCCCAATTAATTACATGTAGCTTTCTGATCCAAGACTGACCTTGAAGCGCTAACTCAAAGAACCTTTGATTTTTTTTTAGCCCGTGGCAGTTCAATAACATTAGACCTGTTGTCTTCATTAGTCCCTTTTCTCTAATCTCCAGCATCCTGCATATTTCCATTGTCCCCCTGATTACATGCTTTTGTGAGACAATTACCAACTGTGTGATTGCAGAAAGAATTACAAAACATACCATGAGCACTCCGTAGGTGATTCGTGCCAGTTTATTAGAACTGCTTAATAGTTCAGAAGTTCATATAGATTGCTTTTTGCTATTTCAAAAACAGGTCGGTGGGACGAAGAAAGCTGTGCAGCTAGCTTAGCGCTGCCCTTGTGTTGCGCCTGAGTAGGGAATCTGATAAGAGTGATTTCTTTTCCTTAAGACCAATTAAGCCTTTATATTTGGGGAAAAAAGGCTGAGAAATTAAAGCCTGGTTTATAATCTGTGCACAATACAGATAGTGGCACTTCTCTGAATTGTCACTATGATTCTGGCAAGCAAATATAAGGAACTACTTTAAATTCCTGCTGGTAGATGCTGTAGCAGATTTGAATGGTGGTGGCCCGTAATTCTCCATCTGTCTGCCTTAATTACTTTTTGTATGGTGCATTTAATTGGGCTGCAGTCACTCCTTGCAGAGTGCTAATCTGTTTGTAGGCGGTGTTCCTTTGCCATGCAGCTCTTCCTGGTCTCATTCAAAATGGCAGCCTTTCTGAAAAACAAAACAAAACGAAAACATGGGGCAAGCATTGAAGCTGGTTTCTGAGTTCCCAGGACTAAGTCACATCCTGTGCCAGGTGCTTATGTGCCAGACCTGGTTTTTATCTCCTTTTGAGCAGGCTCAGAAAAGCACTGTGTGTGGACAGTAGATGTTTGTACATAAACGGAATGACTGGGGTGTTGAAATAGGAGCAGCGGGGCTGCGTCCCCAACACCACGGCCACTTGGCTAGCTCATGCCCGAAATAACAACACACAAACTGTATTCATTTAAACACTGCTTGACCCATTTCTATCTAGCCTCTTCTAGGCTAATTCTCACATATTAATTTAGCCCATTTCTAATAATATGTGTAAGCACCCCAAGGTGCGCTTACCGGGAAGATTCTAGCCTACGTCCATCCTGGGTCGGAGCTTCATCACGTATGCCCAGGAGAGCGAAGCAGGGCCTCTGCTCCAGAGAGCAGAGCTATCAAGTCTGAGCTCACTTCCTCTTCCTCCCAGCATCCTATTCTGTTTACTCCTCCCACCTATGTTTTACCCTGTCAGGGCCAAGGAGTTTCTTTATTGCTTAACCAATGAAATCAACAGATTGATATATTACACTCCCACATCACTGGGGGTGAGTTTCTTGTCTGCCCCTTGTAGATATTTGTAGAGAATAAGTTCTCTACCCCCAAAATGCTGTTTTAGGAGCATACAGTTGGTTACCCCCAAAGCATCCCACACTTTTCGTTTGTTGGTGAGTTCTAACTTTTGTGATTGTGTTTCCCACGCTGCCTTTTATGATGATTGCTACTCATTGTCTGTGGAGCAAGATCTCCAATCTCCCAGGAGACAAACCTCCGTGCATTCCCATGAAGAAGTTTCTGGGTTAGGTTAGTGGAGGTGAGAGGACCTGTCCCGACTGTGGGGCTCTGGACTGACTAAAAGGGAAAGCAAGCATCCACCCTCCTCTAACTGACTCCCGTGTGACCAGTGGCTCACACTCCTGAAGAGCTTCCCCTGTGCTGAGCAGAAATAAACCCCTTTTCAGGCGGCTTTTTTCAGATACTTTGTTGCAGCGATGACAAAAGTAACTAAGACATCTGTCAAAAGATAGGACGCTTGGATCTGAAACATGTTCCACAAGGAGACATTTTAATTCTTAGCTTTCCAATAGCTTCTGAGGACATAATTTTCTTTGAAGTCAGGTTGTACTGTGAATGTAGCAGCCAGGCAGCCATTGGTGCTACAGAGTTGAGGACAATGGAAACTTCTAAATTCTGGTGTTCCCACAGAAGAGGAATGGCTGCCCGGGGACCACATGAAGTCTCCTCAGACAGGAAGCCATGAGTTAGGCCTGAAACTAGCACTCATCAGTTTGGGATAATCTATGTCTCCGTTATCTAGAAGGCAGCCTTTGAGGGGCTTAGGTGTCTCTACTCAAAAGTACAGATATAACATCTATCTATAGCCCCAGATTTCAGAAGTCAAGTCTCATGAGAGACTTGAGTGTTCGCCATGCAGATTAGGTCTCTATGGAACCTACTTGGATGTATCAGCTGAAGCAAGTCCACCAGAAATTATATAGGTGTAGAAGCACGTTAATGGTGACGGATGCTCCAAATGATTCCGTGCCTCAGTCATGCAATTCCATGAGAAAATGGTCAACAGATCTCAGTTTTACTCATTTGTATCCCTCCAACTGTGGTATATGCAACAAAGCCAGGCAAAAATAAGACAATAGGGGCTAAGGAGGTGGCTCAGCTAAGAATGTCACTACTCTATAAGCGTGAGGGACTGAGTTCAAATCCAAAAAAAAAAAAAAAAAAACAGGCAAAAACTTTTTCATGCCTGCAGCCCTAACATTTTGGAGACAGAGTCAGGCAGATTCCAAGAGCCTCCTGACTGACTAAACTAACCGGGTGACAAGCAGCAAGTTCAGTGAGAGACCCTTTCTAAGCCAGTAAGGCAGAGGACCAAAAGAAGACACCTGGCCTCCTATTCTGGCCTCCACGTGTGTACAACACACACATACATGCACACACACACACACACACACACACACAAAGTTGGACAGTAGAAGGTTTGAATTTCCCATACATACTTTGCTCCTCAGCCACACACCAACACTGAAAGTGGAAATTCATAATCACATTTGATTGCTTCATTTCAGCTATCGCTGGATGCGTGTTTGTTATTATTAAACCATGAGCAGTTTTAAAATGCTTAAAAAAAGATTTGTATAAATGTTTTCTTTATGCATGATTCCCAAAGAAAAGATGGAATTAAAAATAGATTTGCCTACTTGTTGTTCATTCCTTGACTCTCTTTCTCGTAAAGAGGATATCTCTTGGCCAGGCAATAGTCGCACATACCTTTAATCTCAGCCCTTCGGAGGCAAGGGCAGGTAGCTCTCTGAATTCGAGGTAAGCCTGGTCTACAGAGTGAGTTCCAGGACAACCAGGGCTACAGAGAAGCCAGAGAGAGAGAGAGAGAGAGAGAGAGAGAGAGAGAGAGAGAGAGAGAGAGAGAGAGAGAGAGAGAGACAGAGACAGAGAGAGAGAGAGAGACAGACAGACAGAGAGAGAGAGAGAGAGAATGTTTCTTTGATCTCCGCTTTTAGACAGGTTTTGTTCACCTTCTTTGACATACAGGATGATATAACTTATAAAAAAAACCATCTTTGTGGCAAAAATGAATGATTAGGTAAAGGTTACATTTCTGCAAAACCTGGAGGAGATTGGAAAGATGGCTCAGTGGGTAAGAACATTTGGTGTGGAGACCTGCCTTCAGATCCCTAGCACGCACTTAAGGAACAGGGTTTGACTACACAAGTTCCTGTAATACCAGCACCAGGAAGGGGAGACAGAAAAACTGCTGGGACTCACTGGCCACCAGCCTAGCCCTGGGTTTAGTGAAAGACCGTGTCTGGAAAGAGTACCATGAATAGTGATAGAGCATGAAACCGAGTGTGTGCACCTATGGTCTTTGTATGTGTGCACAGGGGCACTCAGACATGTGCACATGCCCCAGACACACACACCAGGCAGGGCGGGGGGGGGGGGGGGGGGGGGGGGGGGGGGGGGGGAGAGAAGACCTGGAGATATCCGTGTCTCCAAGATTCGTTCTTGTATTAGTGAATGAACCAAATCTGCTTTGTTTCTCATAAGTGAGAAGATATTGATTTCTGTGCTACAAGCTTGACTTTGATGGTTATAATTCTAAACACTCTGATAAGAAATTTTTCTTATTTAAAAAATATATTACTTAGTATCCACAGAGTAGCTGTTACCCTTGGGGAATTATTGGTATTCTGCCATTGTCTGAAAAAAATGATTTCTATTAATTACACAGCACAGTGTCTCCAAGTTACCAGAAGGAAGGATTCGCAGTTTCTTATAACCTCAGATGAGTTCTATCTGTGTTCTTCACAGCGGAGGAGGTCACGGACCTGAAGAGACAAGCAGTGGAAGAGATGATGGACAGAATTAAACGGGGAGTCCATCTTAGACCAGTTAACCAGACGGCCAGACCCAAGGTAAAGGTCCATGCGGCTATGCACACTCTCTGCTTGTGTTTGTGTACAGAGCTGGGGCTATGAGCGAGTGGGTGTTTTGCCTTCATGTATGACTGTGCATTGCTGTGTTTATGTCTGGTATCCCATGAGGCCAGAGAGGGCAGCAGAGTCCCTGGAGTTGGAGTTACAGGTGGTTGTAGCTGCCATGTCGGTGCTGGAAGTCAAACCCTTGTCCTCTGAGACAGCATCTGGTACTCCTGATAGCTGAGTTGTCTCTCCAGTCCCTTACTTTTTTTAATGTAAAACTTTGGAATTTGATGAAAGCTACATCAAGACTGACTGCCAAGGCTTGGAAGACTAAGGTGTCCTAAAAGCTCTCTCTTGTGGGTAAGCCTGTTTAGAGGGGCTCTGTCACTGCGGGTGAGCCTGAACTGGTTTGGAAGGGGTGTGGAGTTGTTGCCCAGCGTTGCCATCTCTTCCACAGGGACGTTGAGGAAAGTCATCATATCAGACACTAACAGTTGAGAGTTGACTCCTTGTTCTCTTGTGAGTTTCTGATACCGATGTGGGCACCGGGGATAAGGCAGACAACACCCTTGCCCCCTGGAGGCTTCGGTGTGTGTGTGTGTGTGTGTGTGCGCGCGCGCGCACGTGCATGTGTGTGTGTGTGTGTGTGTGTGTGTGTGCACAGAAGACACCACACAGTAATAGTGGAAGAGAACTAAGGCCAAATAGAACAGGTAGGCTAAGCTGTTTTGCCTGCCTGCCAGCAGCCGCCTCCTGAGAAGCACAGTGAGGGACCCATGCTGAGAGTACACTGCAGGCCTCCTCTCTCCGCATGGCCATCTATCCCATTCAAACAGGCCCAGTAATAGTTTTTGAGACTGCTCTTGAAAAGAATACTCTCCCCTCACTCTAATGAGTTATGGACAGACTTCCTTCTTTGCTCACCATACTTCGTGGCTTGCTTCTGTTTTCCTTCCATTTTGCTCCTCTTTTGTGAGTGTGTGCATGAAGGTGCATGTGTACCCTTGTGTCTGTGTATGTTTGTGCAGATACACCTTCTGTGGGTGTGCTTGCTCATGCATGTGGGGAGAGGCAAGGGAAACCCGCGGAGTCTCGAAATAGGACAGGGTCTCTCGTAGATCTGGAGTCTGCTGATCAGGCCAGGCTGGCTGCCGAGCCCAGGGATTGTTCTATTTCCACTTCCCCAGGGCTGGGATTATAAACTAACACACTACTGCACTCTTTTCAATGGGAATTAAATCCAAGTCCACATGCTGACAAGCCCTTTACCACTGAAACCTCCTTCTCAGTCTGAAGGTCGGTCCCCTTTAACTTCTTGAGCTCCCAGTGTGATAACTGTAGAGTGGACATTCTAAGGTCGCCTCTAAAGTTGCCAGTTGGTCACCAGCAAGCAAGACAGCCAGGCAAGGTAGGAGAGGCCATGGTGACTTGGATTTGGAAAGAGGGAAGTCTCACTCAGCTCACAGAGCAGATTCACATCTAAGCAGGCAAGAGTTTCAGGCAACCATGCCGTGGAGATGTGAGCCAATGACCTGGAAGCAGGGTTCCACGAGGAGGAATGTGGAGACAGAAGGAAGTGGGCAGAATGAACCTGCAGGAAGTCTGGATGTTGCAGCTGCAGCGGTAGAATGATCCTGCAGAAAGTCTGGATGCTGCAGCGGTAGAACAATCCTGCAGAAAGTCTGGATCCTGCAGCTGCAGTGGTAGAACAATCCTGCAGGGAGTCTGAATGCTGCAGCAGAAGAATGATCCTACAGGAAGTCTGGATGCTGCAGCTGCAGCAGTAGAACGATCCTGCAGGGAGTCTGGATGCTGCAGCTGCAGCCAGTCCCTTCCGTGTGTGACTCAGTGGGACTATTGTAAGGATCAACTGAAATGACAAATGAGAACAATGAAGGGTGTGGGTGCCACCTTGCAAAGAAATTTTGTTTTTTCTACTTTTTATGTCACAGCTATTATGGAAAAATAAATGAGAGCAGACTATTTCTAGATGAAAATATGGTGTCATAATAAACCAAATTAGTGTAGAGTGAAAATGGTGGGCTTGGTGCAGTGGTTCATGCCTACATTCCTAGCACTTGGGAGGCCTGGAAAGGAGGAGGGTTGTGGGCTGGAGGCCAGTCTGGGAAAGGTCCTACCTCAAACAGAACAAAATAAAAACCAAACAGATAGCATCTTAAAGCAACACTGTTCCATGTCAACGCCTCAGGAACCCTTCTCCTGCTTTCTTCTCTCGCAACAACTGGACCTTATTTCATGTGAGCTCAAAATCTGAGAAGCATCAAAGAGGTTTAGTGGACAGCTGGGCTTTTCTCTGACTGCCAGCAGACTGTGTAGGTGTAGGTCTGAACTCTGCTGGTATGGTCTGGGTACACTTGAGTCCAGACCTCTTCCCCAGGACCTCCAGCCCCAGAATGTCAGGTCTGATAGTGTGTGGTCCAGCTTTCAGAAGGCTTCGGCAGCCAGGACCAGGCTGGTGCGTGGCACCTGGGTGTATTTGAATCTAAACCTCTTACCCAGGACCACCAGTCCCAGGATGTCACGTCTGACAGTGTGTGGTCCAGCTTTCAGAAGGCTTCAGCAGCCAGGACCATGCTGGTACATGGCAGCACTTCTGAGTCTGCTTTTAGGCAGAGCATTGGTTCAGAAGGCACAGTTGTCATGCTGGTTTTCCTGAAAGAGGAAACCTGTGTTGGGGATATTTGCTGCCCTGTTTTCCAATTCTCTTCATAGGGAAGGTAGGTGGAACTGGCCTGGATAACACTGGTGTTTTAGAGTTTATGTCTGATACTGAGGGGGTGCTCATTTCTCAGGAAACCATGACTGTAAAAGTTTAACATCTCAGCCCAATTTTGTCCTTATTTTAAAAAATGGAAATGGGATCAATTTTTTTATTGATTTTATTGAGCTCTACATTTTTCTCTGCTTCCTTCCCTGCCTCTCCCCTCCCCTTTAACCTTCTCCCATGGTCCCCATGCTCCCAATTTTACTCAGGAGATCTTGTCTTTTTCTACTTCCCATGTAGATTAGATCTATGTAAGTCTCTCTTAGGGTTTTCATTGTTGTCTAGGTTCTCTGGGATTGTGATTTGTAAGCTGTTTTTTCTTTGCTTTATGTTTAAAAACCATGTATGAGTGAGTACATATGATATTTGTCTTTCTGGGTCTGAGTGATCTCACTCAATATGATGTTTTCTAGCTCCATCCATGTGCCTGCAAAATTTTAAGATGCCATTATTTTTTCTGCTGTGTAGTACTCCATTGTGTAAATGTACCACATTTTCCTTATCCATTCTTTGGTCAAGGAGCATTTAGGTTGTTTCCATGTTCTGGCTATGACAAACAAAGCTGCTATGAACATAGTTGAGCCCATGTCCTTGTGGCACGATTAAATATCCTTTAGATATATACCGAAAAGTGGTATTACTGGGTCTTGAGGAAGATTGTTTCCTATTTTTCTGAGAAATCACCACACTGACATCCAAAGGGGCTGTACCAGCTTGCATTCCCACCAGCAATGCAGGAGTGTTCCCTTTTCCCCACAACCTTTCCAGCATAAGTTGACATCTGTGTTTTTGATCTTGGCCATTCTTACATGAGTAAGATGGAATCTCAGAGTTGTTTTGATTTGCATTTCTCTTATGACTAAGGATGTTGAGAATTTCCTTAAATAATGTCGTTCAACCATTTTAGATTCCTCTGTTGAGAATTCTGTTTAGGTCTGTACTCCATTTTTTTAAACTGGGTCTTTTTTTTTTCGATGACTAATTTCTTGAGTTCTTTGTAGATTTTGGTGAAATTATTTTTTTAAATAAATTTTATTATTACATTTGACTGGTGTGTGTGTGTAAGGGGAGCCAGAGGACAACTTGGAGTCAGTTCTTTCCTTTCCCACCTGGGCCCAGAATTGAGCTCAGGTGGTCAGGTTTGATGGCTCCAGCACCCAGGGGTGTTAACACTCTTCTGTAGGTGGTATCCTTCTGAAGTATTTGTCCTCCTGATGTAGTCTTACTGTGAAAGACCCATCTATGAGCTGCCCTTTCTGGAACTAAAAGAACCATGGGAATTCTTTACTCAGGCTCAATAAGAGTTTGCCATGCACCCAACTGTGAATGCCTGTAACCCTAGCGTATGCACAGGGTGGGGGGCACACTGGAGAGCTTGGGGCCGGAACAGAGAGCCCAGATAGGAGGATCAAGGAGGTTTGCTGATGGCCAACATGGCCAAGAACCAAGTATGGTGAGAGACCTGTCTCAAGGGAGCAAAGTGCAGAGCAATAAAGGAGAACATGTGGGGCCTTGTGCTCATGGGACATGTTCTTGTGCAGAAACCATGAGCAAACACACATACTCCTTCCACCCCTACAAAGATCACCAACAACTTATCACATAGGCATCTCCATTTGGGGCCAGCAAGACAGGTGGCTCAATCAGTTAAAGTGATGTGGGAGGTCCTTCTGTATATGTGCTGCTTTTATTGGCTAATGAATAGAGCTGCTTTGGCCTATGTCTGGGCAGAATATAGCCAGTCTAGAAGAGATATAGAGAGAGAGAGTAGGTGGAGTCAGAGAGACGCCATGTAGCTGCCCAAGGAGAAAGATGCCAGAGAACTTTACTGGTAGGCCACAGCCCCATGGTGATACACAGATTAATAGAAATGGGTTAATTTAAGATGTAAGAGCTAGCTAGAAATACACACAAGCTATTGGTCATGTAGTATTGTAATTAATATAGTTTCTGTGTGATCATTCGGGTCTGGGCGGCTGGGAAACGGAAGAGCAGTCTTTTTTCTACATTAAAGCACTTGCTACCAAGCCTGATGACCCATATTTGAATTCTGAGATCCACATGGAAGAAACGTCTCCTGCAGGTTGTTTGCTCCCCCTCCCTCCTCCACATCCTAAATAAAGAGGCTTTTAAATCTTTCATATTTTAAAATCAAATCATTCAGTAATTTCTTCTTCCCTTTTGAATTGCAGCCAGACTCCTTAAAGGGCTCAGAGAGCGCGGTGGATGAGCTGAAGGGAATTCTGGTAAGAGTCACCGTTTGTGTTCCGGGGTAGTAGTGGAGGTGTTTTCCAGTCTGACTCTTTGTGGATAGTTGTATGGTAACCTCCAGCCCGTGTGTCAAGTGCCTTGTTTGCTATCACCGCACTCCAGTCCCAACCTTGCTGCAGGACGTCCAGTCTCTGGCCCACCTGAGGACCAGCTCCTGTTTCTGCTAACAGAGCTGTAATAGACCGAGTGTTTGCATAGAGGCAGGAGAGTGGAACGCCTGACACCTACAAGCAAATCTGCACTTCATGGCCTCCTGTTGAGGGGGCTGGTTCCCATCCGCTTGTCCTCATATGCAGCCCTGGCTGGTTTGGAACTTGACATGATTTTGTCCTTGCCTCCCAGGAACTGGGATTACAGGCGTGCACCACCATACTCTTTGTATAGGGTGTTTGAGATCTATCCCAAGGCTTCAAGCCTCCTAACTAGGCAAGCATTGTATCAGCCAAGCTAGAGTTCCAGTTCCCTGAAAGTCTCTCTGTCCCCGATTTCATTCTCAGAAAGTGCGTCTTGCCTGCTGGTGAGCACACCGCCTGCTCACCTCTGGCCCTGAGTCTCTTTTCCTAGTGGGAGCTGTGGCTGGTGGGGTCGCTATTGGCTCCCCTCTCCAGCAGTCACTAGGAAGTGCTTCAGCCCGAGCTCTATTTCAGACTCATTCCAGCCCGACCCCAGTTATTATGCATAGTAAATCAACAAACGCGGGGCGGAGGAGGTGCGGGAACAACCCCTCCCGTTTGTTGTTACTAGGCTAATTAAGCATCCTGTAGACATGCACATAATGATGGTAAACAGCATTGTTTTCATCAAGAATGACTTTAAGCAGTAGACTTCACACAGAATGGTTTAATTAGTTTGCTTTAGTTTTAAGTGAGTGGGATTAGCCCTGAAGAGCATGTATCACTGGCTAACAGTGGTGGTCTACCTACAGAGTCACGGATTAGAACGCCCCCAGGACGCAGCTATTACCCTGTGAATCCTATGATGGGAAGACTTTGTTGACCAGGGTTCTGCCCCCTGTGACAGCCCCCTTTGTTGCTTATTCAAATGCTAATTCCTGTGGTTGAGAACGTCCCTGGTACCCTATGAGAGTGAGAAAGAAGAGCAGTTTTGGTCTTGAAGAGTCAACCATTGTTTGACTCATTAAAATTTTGATTTATTAAAAAAAAATCAAATATCTATGTTTGATTATAAAAATGCATCAGTGGTAGATAGGGGCTGATGGCAGCAAGTTTAATAAATTTAACATCATCGTGTGCATGTGTGCCTGTGTGCATATGTGTGCATGTGCTTCTGCTTTATCACTGATTTACATCCACAGCTTAAATATTACTTTTCAGTATAATAGCCACTATAATTTTATATTACTTCATGCAGGTAGGTTTGCAGAATTATTTACTATTTGTGAAAAATATTTTTAGAAAATTCTTTCATCCTTGTCCAGGGTTTGTTCTTAGACCTCTGTCTTTTCTGATATTCATGTATCACTCGTCGTAATAATATTTCTTTGCATTAATTTTTTTTAAAGTGGACTCTGCTCCTGGTCCTCTCCCTGCCTCTTTGTCATTTAAAAGCCACTGTATGAGACTCTGGCAATTTCCAAAGAACAAGCAGATACAAATTCACCTGCAGATTTCTTCTGTGGCTCCAAGGGACCGTTCTGAGCAGGTGCAGCAATTGTTGGCCAGTATATATTGGTCACCTGGCAGTTGTTAGTATGGTGATATTTTTAACATGCGAGGTGACCGCTGAGTGACAGTGGTGCTCTGAAGTAGTTAGACTACTATTTGGAGTTTCGATCTACCTCTAAACTCAGGCTTACCCCTGGTTTACTGTGGGACCCGACCACAGCCCTGAGCCTCACTGGGTTCCATTGCTTGTAAAGTGAGGTCACTGTGTGTACCACATGGCTTCTGAGCCTGCTTCTGGCTGGCACATTTTATGAGTCCAACAGAGAAGTCATATGCAGAAGTAGACAATCTCAGGAGCTTAACTAGCCAAGCTCGTCTTCATTTTACTTGAGAGTCATGCAGAAGCGTTCTGTCCTCCAGCCGCCAGTGCCTCTAAGCTTTATTCCTACATACATAAGCTGCATCAATCATACCAGTCAGTAAATGAACAAAGAGTTGGGGGTTCAACTTGGAAAATGATTATTTTGGCACCCGGCTCATGATGGCCTGGATTTGGGGGGAAATAATACTGCTATCCAAAGGGAGAGCTGAAGGGTCATGGAAAAGATAAATTTAATAACAGTAGATAGCACGTAATTTCCTTTCCAACAGCCATTTCCACTGGGGAAAATGATACAATGGCCTTGAGAGTCAGACAATCTGACTGCACTATAAGTTATTTCCATAGTGAGAACCATACGGTTTTTAAATAGCTACTCACAAGTGTTTCAAATGGTAAGTTTCCTAGAAGCTTAGATAGAAATAATGTGGGGATGCTTGTTCTTTGCATTCTTTTCGAGTGTGTGGAAAGTGGCCATTCATTCTCTTTAATTCCCAGGGCCAGTCATACCTCACTGTATCACTCTAGCAACAACTAGATACAGGCCTACAACCCAGTGAACCAAATCATCTCACTCCTGAACTTAAATGAGCTGTTGCAAAATTACACGTCTGTTCCGTCTGGATAGTTTATAAATTTTTGTAGCAAATGAAAAGCAAAATGTTGCATTTCCAGGAAGAAAAGTGCCACATGCCTGAATAAACTAAGAGTCTTCTTCAAGCATGTTGGCTTGAATCAGTTCATTAGGCAGCTAACAGCAGCCACGGGCTCCTAGCCTTTTAGGCTACCCCACCCCAGTCTGTGTCTGTAAACAGGTGTTTAGAGATAATGAAAGCATTATTGTAACCTTTCTATGAGAGATTTGTAACTATCTGGTTTCCACAAGGAACTTTTTTGTTGTTTTATGGTCTAGAGAATTTCCATGCCTAAACAATAGGATTCTGAGGACCCTTCTGGAAACTGGAAGCTAGGAGGGAATAGAAATAAAACCTGTGGCAAGTTCACAGCTGACACAAAGGCTGGGCTGGGTACAATCCCTGCTGAACCAAAGCCTCTTCTCACCCAGAAGTGCGATAGGGCAGGTTGTTGCTTGCTTCCTCTGATTGTATCTTGTGTCTTCTGATCTCTGCAACCCGGCTTATGGTACAACTGAGGAGGAGCACTTCATGATGAGCTACACGCTCACCTCTAAGTGAGAAGTTTATCACTGTGCTGTTCAGATACTCGAGTGGGGAAAGAGATGGGAAGCTGTTCCCCCTCGGCATAGACTTCGAGAAGGGCCTGGATGGGGAACCATGACTCTCTGGTCTTTGTCTTCTCAGAAAGCCAAGGCCAGTTCCGGGAGGAGCCTAACCTGATGGTCTTTCGGTGCCTGCAGTATGTTCTGGGCACTGGAAAAGTGCATCTGTGTTCTTGTTTGTCAGGACCATGGAGACCAGTCCATCCCTATAGGACCACAGCATTTCTCTCCCACAGCACTGTCACTGTAGCTCGGTAGACCACTGGGGGCCCTTATGTGCCTGCTTCTCAGCCACAACAGTACCACCTGGTGTGCAGCCAGGGTCACTCACTCAGTCGCAGGCCACACAATTCTCTAGCTCCCAGAGGATTTGTGCTCAGTAGTTCACGGCTCCTGTCTGAAGATACCCTTCCAAGGTGAGTGAAATGTACTTATTCTCTCCTTCGTGGACACCTATCGGCATCTTCATCACCCGTGGGCAAGTATCTCCTTCCGGTTGACCTTTGCGGTATTCTGCCTACGAGCTGGTCTTGTATTGCTTGCTCTTCTGAGATGAAGTGACAGTCACCACCATCCGCAGCATCTTTTGAGTACTTTGAGGATGTATGAGCACATTTGAGAAACCCATATACATTTGTGTGTAATTTGTTTTGTTTCCTAGTTCTGTTCAGATTTTGACGTTTTATTGTTTTGCATTTTGTGTTCTTTTGCATATTATATTAACCTTTTTGTTTTTGTTTTAGGGGACACTTAACAAATCCACTAGTTCGAGAAGCTTAAAATCCCTTGGCCCTGAGAACAGGGAAACTGAGTTAGAGAGGATTTTACGTCGCAGGAAGGTGACAGCAGAAGCAGATAGCAGTAGTAAGCCACTTTGAATCCTCCGTGCTCCTTCTCTTCTTCCCTTAAACCCCTTTAATACGAAATCATTTTTTAAAAAAATCAGTATTGAATGTTTAGGGTTTTTTTTAATGTGAGTGAGAAGTACTGGCTAGGCAAAGAGTGTCTGTGGCACCTCTTGGGATGCTCACGTGGGCATCCACCTCCTTATTTGTAGATCTGATCTGGTTAGTGTGAGAACAGGACAAAGCCCCTTATAAAGACATTCAGGTGGGGTTTTCATACATGTATACAAAGTGTTTTGATGATATTCACCCCAGGTTCTTGTCCCCCTCCTTTCCACCGATCTTGTTTTTCTAGCTTGTCACCCTTCTATTTTCATGAGTTTTGTTTGCTTTTGTAGTTTGGTTGTTTACATGTTTCGTTATTGCTGTGTGTAGGAGTATCAGTCAGGGGGGCGTTGTTTACAGGAACACGGGCAGCTGACCAGTGGCCATAGGGCCCAAGAACATTCTCCTCCTTCCCTGTGGGCCTTAAGCCCTTCCCTCGTCAGGGTGGATTTTGTCAGGTGGAGGGTCTGGAAACAGGCATCCTGAGTTCTAGTCCCAGCCTGTCACTTGCCCATTGCTTGTCCCTAGGCCAGCTCTCCAGCCTTTCCGTGCCTCAGTTTCTCCGTGTATCTCTAGTGACTTTGTGACATTATTCTCGAGATGAGGTAGTGCCTTGCCCACCCCCACTCTGCCTGGGACAGTTAGTTTTGCAGCTTTAGTGGGAATTACACTTCAGTGACAGCAAACACAGAGAAATCTTCTGCATTTTTCACACCCATTTCATTCCTAGATCCGACTGGACCACCCAAGGGAAAGACTCCTGCTCTGCCCCCACGAGTGAACGCACCGTCACCACTGGGTGTTTGAGTCACATCATTATCCGTGTCTTACATCGCAGGATCTGTTCCAAACTTTGGGTGGATGCAGTTGTCTGAATGATTTTGGCAATGGCAATTAACCAAAACCTTTATGAAGGTTCCCCATGGGAGCTAGCCAGGAAGCTGGTTCTGGAAAAACACCACAAAGGAAGACTAAGAGTCAGCAACCAGAGGTCCTGGGCTGAGCTTTTTTTAAGACTCACCTTGGTCGAAAACAGTCCTTGGGAACGCTTAAAATCTATAAAATGTTGAATCATATTGATCAACTTGATGTGGCAAGGATTTTGTTTGTTTTAAAGACAAGGTTTTGCTATATAACCCAGGTTGGTCTTGAACTCATATGACCCTCCTGCTTTAGTCTCCGTAGGGCTGGCATTATAGGCTTGACCCACCCTGCCTGGCTGAACTTGTTAGAATATTCTCAATGGAACGGTGTTGGTCACGCTCTGCTTTTCATAGGGATTGACTCAACTGAGTGAGTCCTCAAATCAGAATCGACCAGATAAGCAGTCAGACTTACAAACATAAGAGTCATCCATCTGAAGAGATAGTAATTACCTCCTGAGTTCAAACCCCAGAATCCATACTTTTAAATCCACGATCTGTAATCCAGCGATAGGGAGGTAGAGACCAGTGGATCCCCACACTGGACAGCCAGTTGAGCCTCCAGACTGAGCTCTAGAACAGTGAGCTACCCTACCTCCAAACAGAAGGAAGGACACTGACATAAAAATAGTGTGTAGTCTGATTTGAGAATTCTACCGATAAATGGCAAACAAGGAGTTCCCACCCAGCAAACAACCTGAAATGGACGTAAGGGACATTAAAAGGGTATTCGGAGGCAATTTTTATGGTTTTACTAGAACTCAGCCACCTCACCTCATCCATTTGGTGACTTGGTGCCTTGACAGCCTTCCCAGAATCCCACTGAGGTTCTTCTGTAGGTCTCTCTGCTTAGGCTTTACTCTATGACATTTCCACGACTGTGATTTATATTGTGTGTTTTGCTCCAATCCTTCTCTTTTCTCAAAAAACATTTCCATTCGTGGATTAAGCCACACACACACATCACTCATTGCTTCAGAGTTCATTTCCAGCAGAAATGAGGAAGCACTTTGGTTCCAGTCAATATGGAAATAAGAACACTTCCAAAAGTGGAGGAAGGAACACATTTTAGAGACACAATAAGAATCTTTCATTTTATTTATTTGTTTGATTGATTTTTTTTTTGCCAATGTACAAATACTCAGTGTCCCATTCCAGGAAAATTAGAATAAAATATAAAAATCAAATAGAGTTGGGGACTAGGGATATAGTTCAGATAGTATAGTGTTTGCCTAGAGTATATAAAGCCCTGGATTTGATCCAAGGAACCATACAAACAGTATGGTGATACAAGTCTGTAATCCTAGCTCTTGGGAGGTAGAGGCAGGAGGTCATCCTCAGCTACATAGTGACTTGAAGGCCAGCCTGGGCTACATGCAAGCCTGCCTCAAAAATTTTTTCAACCCCTGAACAAAGAAATATGATCTGTTATTGGTGAAGTAGACAGTCAGAACACACTAACTATAATTAATTAATAGCCAAGAGGGAAAAAAGGAAACAAGAAATCTGACAAACTTTTGCTCAGTATCTTAAACAAACAAAACCCTCTTTTCCCCCTTCAATGGGTCACATGAAAATTTCTCTAAAGCTCATTTAGACATGGTGAAATGACAAGGTGAAAATTCCATGGGGAGAGAAGAAGAAGGCCGCCAAACCCGGCAGGTGGAGGGCAGGAGGAAAGTGACAGAGATTAGTGATGCACAGGCTTGAGTCTTCTGCACAGGGCCTGTGACATTGCCCTTGCACGCTAAGACTTCTGGGAATTAGGGGAGGGACCAAGTGGAGGAAGGCAACTTCAGGGAGTAGCCAGGCTTTGTAGACTTTGAGCATCCGCCCTTTAGACCCACCGGTTTGCTATTTTCCTGGGACTCGTTGCTGTCCCCACTTCCCCAACCCCCATCCTGGTAGCCCGCCAGACTGACAGAGAGCAGCAAGAGGTCCTTAGGAAATACAGAATGCAGTAATCAATGTCGCAAACACTGCCTTCTTCATTTCTTTTTGTATATATGGAAAACAGGAGCCCAGCTCTCTGCCCCCCTTTTTAAGTAGCTGCAGACATAGAAATAAGCAGCAAGCGTTGGCGCATTCAGAAGATCTTCCCACAAGGACAGTCTAGTGCTGCAGTCGAGTTACCAAGGACAAAGCACCTGAGAGGAGGCAAATCTTGAATTAGACTTCATATTTCCCAGAATCCTCTTTGCTTGATCTTTCTGCCCCTCTCTTCTGTCTTCCACATCCTCACACAACACAAGGCTTAGTGTAGCTGGAAGGAAAGGGACTTTTTAACCAGAGCCCTCAGGCATGACACCGTCCTGTCTGCCCAGACAAAGTAGGAAAGTCACACACCTGTCACCAGACCAGAGTTGGTCTGTGTCTTGGAGTTGAACTAAGGGAGGAGTAGTTGAATTGCTGAGCCCATTGTCAGTCCCTCTTAGGTTCTCCAGACATTTTCACAGCCACATGAAAGGTATGACGCCGAAGCTAAATTCTGCTGGGATTTGCTAACATTTTGTATTGTGTAATACCAGATTGGGAGATGGTTCTTTTATATTTTTTGAGACAGGGTCTCTATGTAGTTCTGGGTCACCTTGAGCTTTTGCTCTTGCTGCCTCCACCTTCCAAGTGCTAGGGTTCCAGGTCTACACCACCATGCCCGGTCTGCGCTGGAGATGGAGCCCTTGACTCCATGCTGAGCAAGCACTTCTCCACCTGAGCCGCTTCACAACCCTGTGACCCGTGTTAGTCTCCCAAGTCAGCCCTCTTTTCGATGGCACCCTTCAAGGCTGTCTTCTGACTTCATTTTGACATTATTTAATTTGCATATGTGTGACTTGTGTAGTCCGGTTGTTAAGAGCATTCCTTCTGAAGTTTTGAGGTAGGTGTTCTTTATAGTGTGCTACCTAGCAAAAACTCAAGATGAGGCTTATTAGCTTCAGCCCAGGAGTTCTGGGATGCTGAGCCAATACTTTCAGTAGCAAGTCCTAGTGTAGTCATTAAATCCTGTCCCAAAGAGCAGCAGAGACCAGAAGGTAAACAGCCCAAACTCTTTGCCACTTAATTTTTATAATCTTGTGTCTGTATTTTTAAGAGGCAATAAATCCACTTACTGCTCATTCACATTAAAATGAAAATGTTCATAAAAGCTGTTTAATGCTTAAGAAGTCTTCATGAGCCTTTTAGAAAGAACCTTTTGACATTGGTCCATTTTCTGTTTGAAATGCAAAGCTGAGTTTTCGGAAGAATTAACTCTTGAGAGGCAAAATGGTTCAAGCAGGGCTGTCAGAAAAGCCATATTTGAAAATAAGAAAGAGTGTCCATAATTGCAGTTTTACTAAGGACCAGTCAAGTCAGTGAAGGGAGTGTGGCCTGGGATTTTGCAGCCTCTTAAATGTCTGCACACAATTTCCCAGCGTGGTCCAGGTGCCCTGAAAGTTAGACTTGCTCCCAAAGCAAGTAGACTGGCAGTAGGGACTTTCTTTTTCTTTTAGCATGTGCTTAAACTTTTTTTTAACCAACTTGGCCTCTTTGCTTCCTATGGTCATTTTCAGCTAATCTTTCATACCGTTAATAAGCATCACACAGAATTATTAAACTTGAGGTATGTGTTTGGTTTTAAGGTCCTACCGGGATATTAGCCACCTCAGAGTCCAAATCCATGCCAGTGTTGGGTTCTGTATCCAGTGTAAAAACAGCCTTGAACAAGAAAACTCTGGAGGCAGAATTCAACAGCCCGTGTCCCCTAACACCTGAGCCAGGTGAAGGGCCCCGTAAATTGGAAGGATGCACGAATTCCAAGGTTACGTTTCAGTAAGTAATGATGCTCTTTATTAAGTAGAATGTAGACGAATCTGTCATGACTATAATATGCGTTTATTTGATCTGTTGCTCTTCAGAAGACTTTGATGTGGCCTTCCAAACCCTCTTCCTTCTCCTTTGAGCCAGCTTCTGCTTCTAGGCTCCCAGCTTGGTGATTTCCTTCAGCTCCAAAGCAAACGCCACACCTACTGGACTGGCCATTCATTGGTTTCTCCTCCTACACAAAGGGGTGACCAGGCTGATGCTTCTGCACCAGAAGACACCTGTCTTTAGGCTGTCACTCTCTGCGCCTCCTTCACCTGAAGAAGGTACTAGATCTTTCCGACTCCTTTGCAGCCTGCATTTGTATAGCCTTGGAAGGTGTGCCTTCATCCTGGTCTTCCCGGAGACGGACTGTGCCACATGCAGGGTTATCTATAGAGACCAACTTCCAAGTGGCGTGGCGCTCTGTCAGCGTTAATCCTGCTATTGACCGTGTCGCAAACCAGTGTAGTAGAGGATCAATTTGTTTTATAACAACGGCAGGCTCCACTTGAAATCAGTCTACACTTGTGCACTAATTCTCGTGCCAGGGTGTCACCTAGATTGTCACTTAATGAAAAGGAAGAGGTGAGGCCAATCAGATCAGCTGAATCTTGTAATCACAGTTAATTAAACCTCTGATTTCCTGTTCTGTCAGGAGAGAAAGAGCCCCTCCTTTGTAGTTTTCGCTGTCTTAGCTTTAAAAGGTGAAACCTGGACAAATGAAGTTGAGATTCAGTTTGGATCTATTTCTGCCAACTGTTTTCCTCCTCTCACGCTCTTCTCTCCGTGGGGCCCTCGAGATCCCCTTCTCCTCTGGAATGAATGGCCTTCTTTGCTGATTTGCAGTCTTACCTGATCTCATTGTGGTTTCTTAAAGTATGTCTCCTCACAGTCCTCTTGCCTTTCTTTGCCAGGAGCTGTTTGTGCATCTCCCAGAAAGATGATCTGTATTCATTCTTTGCCTTTGCTATTAAGTTTGTTTAACACCTAATTTGACATCAGCAATCTGGCAGCATTTGAACCAATATCCAGACACAAAAGCAATTTGGCAGAGACAAGTTAGTCTCTGAGAAATGCTTCAGAACGGGTGTATAGATTTTTTTTCCCTCTTCACCATCTCGCACAGATAATCTTAATCAGAAAATACTGCTACTCCTTCCTCCTTTTGTGTCTGCCTTTTATTCTCCAAAAGTAAGTGGAAATTACATTTCCAAGAAAGGAAATGAAATAATTGCAGGCCCAGGGTCTGCAAAATGTGTGTTGAATTGACAGTAAAAAGGATCAGCGTGTTGACAGAGAGATGTTAGATGCCAGGAAGGCCAATGTGGAACTTAATTTATTTCTCATCTTGCTTGTTCAATGACTGCTTAAGAGACACATTGCAACTTAATTTATCTACTTAAAGCACTAATCTAAGTATTGTGTGTGGCTGTATTAACTTTTAAACTCTGTAACCCGATGCTTCTCTCTTCCGTTCTTAGATTGTTTAGCTGAGATAACCGGTGCCATGTATTTTCATATTGACAGTCATTTAGTAAGAAGAGCACCCTTTTCTGAAAACCCCTTGCTGCAGGCCAGCTGGACGAAATGACGCAGAATTCTGTGAATTCGCAGGCTCATTATTCACTTCCCTTACTTACATTTAAACTTGGCTTCGAGATAACTGACAGGCTTACCTGCAGGTTCTACAAGTGAAAACGTGTGTTACCAGCCAGGAGAACTGCTTAGGAACCAGAGGGGTTATTTTTCAGGGCTATGTGGGGCTCTGACTAATAAGTTCATTCAGTTATACTAACCACTATGGTGGTTGTGGCCACCTTGCCCTACCTCATGGACTTGAGCAAGCGTGACACTTAGAGATGAGATCATGTGTGTGTTGGGCGGGCAGGGGGCAGGTGCACATGCCGTAGTGGGTGTGTGGAGGTCAGAAGACAAGCTCAGATGCCAGTCCGCACCTTCCACCTTGTTTGAGGCGGGCTCTCTTGTTCACTGCTTGTACACCAGGCTGGCTTGGCTGCAAATTTCAAGGGATTCTCCTGTGTCCACCTTGCGTCAGCACAGAGTGCACACAACAGAGTCCAGCTTCCCAGAGGCTCTGATGATCCGAATTGGGTTCGCAAACTTATTCAACACGCCTTTAACCCACCGATTCGTCTACCCAGCCCTTCACTGTTTTTAAATTGGCTTCTAAGGCTACAATTCAGTCATGGCTTTCATTGTGGTATTTTTCTTTTCTTTTTTTTTTTTTTAAAGATTTATTTATTTATTATGAAGATAGTGTTCTGTCTGTCTCTATGCCTGCAGGCCAGAAGAGGGCACCAGACCTCATTACAAATGGCTGTGAGCCACCATGCGGTTGCTGGGAATTGAACTCAGGACCTCTGGAAGAGCAGTTGGTGCTCTTAATCTCTGAGCCATCTCTCCAGCCTGTGGTATTTTTCTACACATGTATAGTGTACTTCTTCCTGTTAATTGAGGAGCTTTTGAGCTCTAGTAACTGCCCTCCTTCGTTTTGGCGGTGACATCACCACCATGGTGTTTCCGGTGAGTGGCACTCCCAGCTCTTGACAGGGTTTAGGGAGGATGTCCGTCTTAGTAGCCTCTAATACATATGATTGATCACCCCAACTTTACACAGACGTTGCACACTGCCTCACTGTAGCCCCGATACCCTCTCCTCTCTTTCTTCCACTTAAGCCTTTTCGTCCAGGTTCCATTACACTTGTGGCCTGCTCTCCAGCCTCGTATCAACACGACCCGTTTTACCAGGAATGCCCTTCCCTGTTGTGTCCTTCACGTCAAGGTCCTGGAAATCTGACTGGGGTAGTAAAGAATGCACAAAGGAAAGATACACAGGCAGAAAAGCTGGCGTGGGGTGGTGTGTGGACTTTGATGGAGGGCACCAACTACAGTCAAAGCCTGGAACTCAGCTGTGTGTGGTTTATACATGCAGCACAGAGAAGGGGTTGGCTAGTACCAATGGGAGGTCTCTGTAGACAGGAGTCTTAGGTTGTAAATACTTGGGAGGAGGAGGCTGCATAGGTTTTGATGAAGTTGATAGGTTTTGTGCATAATTGCCAATATTCCCACTTAGAGAAAGGATTTACCACGGTCTGAGCTTCACCGCAGGGGCGAGGCTCTGCCAGTTTCCCATGGGTCTGAGGCACTGGTCCTTGACACAGCCGTGGCCATAGCAACACTGTACATCACTCTGGACTTCATTTTCTTTTTTTACACTCAAGGCTTCCTCAGCTCCCCACCCTTTCCCCATGGGTACAAGGCTAGCGTACCCCTCACACCCTAAGTTTTTTCCTCAGAGATCAACGTTTCCAGGTAGTCAGAATCGTAGCCACATGTTCCCCTACACCCTGATTTCCCACATCCTACGTCATTTTCCCCACAGCAGTTACTACATGCTCTACCATGTAGATTATTTCTCTCCCTCGGAGGAAATGTAAACCAGACGAGTATAGGATTTTTGTTTTTGTTTGTTTTATGTATTTGTGGTATTTCACACACCACGAATGGTGCCTGCCAGATAGTAGGCTCTCAATAAGTGGATGGATGAAGAAGCATGTTCTTTAATTTTAATAAAGTGGTCAAATATCAGCTGACTAGAAGAGCATATAGCCAGCATTTCCATACCACAGGCATGCACAGGCTGAAACGTAAGACTTCCTTGTGGGTTGGTCTCGAGGGTCCAAGGAGTTGTGAGCGTTTAGCTCAGTGCTGCACATATCCATTGTTGTACCCTCATCAGATTCCACAATGCACGGGTTTAGCACAAATTCCGGCTATGCTCGCCCAATTGGTTCAGCAGGGCTGGAGTGTTGGCTGACTTGCCAGTGGGTAAGTTAGAATGCAAAAGTAGAGGCCAAGGAATTTCTGCATAAGAAAGCTAAAAGCCTTCAAGCCACCCCTGCAAAGTGTAATCAGCATGTGTGGATTCAGAAAGTTAAATATCCCTGAGTTAATGGCAGGTAGGCATTTCAGAAGTTCAACAGTAAATATGAGATCCCCAAATGCCTGTTTGGGTGACCTTGTCCTCCATCTTAATCCTGTGCAGGGTGTCCCAAACATTTTAAATCTGTTGTCACCAAAATGTATAAATTGGATGTTCTCAATAGATACATGTGCACTGACCTGGGAAAACATGGTTTCAGGAAAAGCCCAGACCACTCCATCATGTGTGTGCTTTAGTTAGTATTTCCTCTTTGTCAACAGATATTCACACTAAAATGATACACATTGAGAGGAATGTCCAAACCTTAGTAGGCAGGATGTATGGAGATTATGGGTGGTGAAACCATTTTTCCAGTTTGGGGGCTGAGGATTTAGGGATTTGCTTCTATAATGTTTAGTCATTGATACTGTTTCTCACCAACATTCACTAAACCAGGTATTTTCATGTGTTCTTTTATTCATCCCAAACCTATTGAATGGACATTATTTCCATTTTGTACATGAGAAAACAGTGGCTCAGTGAAGTAAATAAATCGCCCAAAATTATGCTTCTGCTTAATAGTTATTGATAATTAATAACATAACTCCTCTAAATTCTGTAAAGCTCGTGCCTTTCAAATCCCAATAGAGCACATTCAGTGTATTAAGAGGTTAGGGAAGAGAGGAGACTTACATGAGATGTTCCTTGTAGAAGGTAGAGTTTCTGCAGTTAAGTTGCTCCTTGAAGCCTGCTCTCTGACTGGACATACTCATAGATCACGTCAGCTTTTCTGTTTTGTCTTCCTACGTCCATCCTGAGCAATGGGAAAGTTCTGGTGTTTCCCAGAAGTGCAAAGCATTCTGAAACAGCCACTCTGGCTAGCGAGTAGTCTTAGTGAAGGATTGGGAAGAGATTGTTCTAATTTTTCCATACCACCAATAAAAGGGCACTCTTCAATAATATGAAGATAAGCTTGGGAAATCGGTTTATCACAATACCAACTATTTTAGTCTTTTGTTGGTTT